GACCCAGAGTCGTCAAACCGCCTCCGTATTCATCCCATTGAAGCGAGAGTGAGTGACTTTGGTCTAACGCCGCTTTTAGCAATATTCCAGCAATATCACGGCGGGGGGCACCAGAAATTGGCTTCACACATCGTACCCATGTCGGGAATCGAACCCGGGTCTTCGGCGTGACGAGCGAATGCTTTCGGCCTAACCACAAGGCTTCCCGACCGACCCATTGAAGAGGGAGAAATACGATGGCTAGTTGTACCACAAATGTCGTTGGGAATACCCCGTGTTAAACTTTTCTCGACTAAATGATTAGAAAACACATTCCGAATGTAATTTGTCGCTCTGATTGGTCGTTTGAAAGTTCGTTCTGACATGATCCATCATGGGTGCCCTGAGATCTTGGCTCAGCGGTAGTAGTGAGTGAAAGCGGTTCTAGCAACAGGACGGCGGGAAACCAAAGGTTGGTTTGTTGGGTGGTTGGTTTGTTGTTTTACGCCGCACTCAGCAATAATATTTTACAGACCGCCGTCACATAGATGGAATATTGCTGAGTGCGCCATTAAACAACAAACCAACCAACAAACCAACCTTCAGATAACCAGCAGATTTAACACGGCAAATAGATATGGGATTAGTTACAGTCGATATATGAGCCTTAGAAATAGGGCCCTGTTCCACAAAGCGACAGTAGCGCTTAGACGATCGTAACTCCAATACTTTAACAAAGGCCTACGACAGTCGTAGTGCTACGATCGCTTTCTAGAATCGTTGCCCGGTTTGCTTTGAACTGAAAATTGAGCCTTGAGCAAACGCACCATTGATGGCAGGTAGACCTTAATACAGTTTCAAAAGTTTCCCTCTTCTTTGTAATGAATGAAGAAAGAAAAATTACATGTCTTACTCTTTAGATTAGAGTTATATATTTAGACAATCACCTATTTTCACAAAATGGTGTCTGTAAAATGACAGTTATTATGTACACAACATTCATTTCTAGATTTTGAACTTCAAGGTGTCTGAACAACAGTAAATGTAACAATAATATTGGATTAAAGAACCATCGAATGTTATAACATGCGTGTACAAACGTTATTCTGTTTTCATTACCAGGTCCATATGAAAGACAAAACTGACCTAGGCCCACTTGCACAAAGCGTTCTTAGCGCTAAGATGATCGTAACTCCCATACTTTAGCATAGGTTTACAATAGTCTTAGCGCTAAGATCGCTGTGTGCAAGTGGGCCCTGGTTCCGAACTCAGGGAACAAAAACAAAAACAAGGTACATAGACCGCCTCCGTGCTCTAGTGGCAGAGCGTCCGCCCGGAGAGCAGACGGTTCCCGGCCGCGTCATACCAAAAGACGTTAAAACCTGGTACTTGATGTTACCCTGTCTGGCGCTCGGTATTAAGGGGCTAAATGAAGGAAATAAGGACTTGTCGGCTCGGAGACAGTTAACTGTGTCTGATTGGGGTATTCAGGGTATCTCAGTCTAGCACTATAAACCGGCATCAGTCCGGACTAGTACAAGCAGCCACACACACACACACACACACACACACACACACACAGACGCGCGTGTGCACGTCGCTATATAAGTGCAATAATCTTTGACGCGACGTTAAACCCCATTTCACCACACCCTCTTTGTGAAATGTAATACTCAAAAGAACTTAAAGAATTGGGTCGATCGGGTGTTCTTTAACTTCTTTTGAGTAGTATATGCTGCTTTAATTGCTTAAATTAATATTATCAGACGGTTTTTTTTTTATCAAATAGACTACCCTACCTATAGATATACCCTTGCATCGTGAAGTTCATTCCTATAAATACCTAAGTATAAACACAAACCACGGAAGCCAGTACTTACCAAACTATCACCAGTGAAGTCGAAAAACGAAGAGATATCCTAATCTTTAACGAAACAGTGAAGTCCAAATCCTGAATGACCAGTGGTCAGTTAGCTTATATATATACCTCTTACCTGACCCTCGTGGCCTGGGTCACCCTTCCGCATTTAGGCCAAGGCTGTGTCTGACGCGTGGGTATCTGAGTTTACCGCTCAAAGGACATGTTGTTGAAATGTCTTACCCAAGCTTACGTACATAGTCTGACTTTGTCAACCCAACCCGTCATACAAGAGTGAGTGAGTGAGTGAGGCTGGTCAGGCTGGTCACGCTGGTCAGGCTGGTCAGGCTGGTCAGGCTCGCTGACTTGGTTCATTGTATGTGATCGTATCCTGACGACGTATATAGTTGCTCATAATATCAATCACTGGTGTGTCTGGTCCAGATTCGATTTGTTATAAAGCCGCAGCCATATAGTTTGAGTAATGCTGAGATCGGCGATAGTGAGTGAGTGAGTGAGTCCCAGCCATATTACGGTTTGTTAATGTGCTTCATACATTGTACATATATGTCAGGAATGACGAGACGACGCTTTAAGCACCATCAACAAGTATCACGCTATACACAGCATCCATGTACAGTATGCTGCCACGGTGTATGTATACTGTTGTATAGCTACCTAGGCACAAGCTGTCGTTCATAGGTGTAAAGAAAAGAGGGCACGGCTGGCTGGTGGGATGACGCCATCGATGCCTTGAGTCCATTAGATGCGAGGGGGTTCAAATACCAGAAAGTACATTCCACGAACTAGTAAAAAACCACACTGTAATAGTTTTACAGCATAGAAAAGTGTGGCTAAATACGGAACCAGGGAATGACGTTGAGAAACATTTCTTCTTTATTTCTTTTTTGGCCTACAAATGGTCGTTTATTTATTTATTTATTTTGTTACCTTCGTTCTATGAGAGAGAGAGCGGGGGGGGGGGGGGGGGGGGGGGGGGTAGAGAAAGAGAGTTGTGTGTGCGTGACGTCGGCGGGGGGGCAAGCAATAATACTTTCACTAAGGAAATATTCGATTATTTCTATTGAATTAACAATGTGCATTTCTTATGACTGGTTTCGCATGATCTTTTACTAGCCCATATGAGAATTTCAGATTACATTACAGAGAGAGAGAGAGAGAGAGAGAGAGAGAGAGAGAGAGAGAGAGAGAGAGAGGGAGGGAGAGAGAGAGAGAGAGAGAGAGAGAGAGAGAGAGAGAGAGAGAGAGAGAGAGAGAGAGAGAGAGAGAGCAGCCATCTCTGGGCAATGCAAACCTGTGGTTAATAGCACGAGTTACAACCAAGGCATCGTGTGACGATAACACACTACAAGCCAAGTTCTTTCGACAACAGACTTCTTAAGGCTAAATGATCTAACAATAATGTTATTGAGTCGTGCAGATGTAAGATGTGGAGTAAGTTTTGACGTTATAGTTTGTCCACGTGGCCGGATCCTATCTGCGATTCCCAACAAAGTCATTATGTGAAGCCCATTTGTATATTGGGTTCTCGTCATCTTTTAATTTGAACATGGGTCAATTAATGGAAAAAGACCAGTGAAGATCACGGTGAGAACTGAACTTCAGCAACCGAAATTGTCGTAAGATGAGATTAACGGGATCGGGTGGTCAGGCTCGCTGACCTAGTTGATGCATGTCATCGTATCCCAATTGAGTAGATCAATGCTCATGATGACAGTTACTGGATTGTCTGATCTAGATTCGATTATTTACAGATCGCCGCCATATAGCTGAATTTAGTGCAGCGTTAAACAACAACAACAACAACAACATTAATGGAACTTCTTTTGGCACTTTTGACTTTTTGGCGACAAAGCAACTTGTTTTGTCAATAAAAGCGCAGTTTCAGAGGACAAAATGTTATTACGAAATACACCTTTATAAAAAGAAGTTTCCGGCTCAAGAAACTAAATCATGAATCAAAGTAACGTACTGAACTCATCAGGGTACATGGAACTGCGTTTCATTAACAAAAATGATTCATTTGCTTTAAGGCTAGAATTAACCTCTTCTATTTCGTGAAACCCGTGCAGGTCGTGGCCTATCAATCAATACCGTGATTGATTACCAACGCTTTCTTATCGATGAGACTTCCGAAAATTGTGACGCACTACCACCTACAGCAGCCTTGCCCTTGGCTTTTCTGACATAGATACCAGTCGCACTAGCATTAGTTTATCAGCTTCAGGGAAAACAACTGCGGGGTTTAATTAGGTTCTTAGAGTCTGTATGCTTAAATGAACTCTTTTACAATCTGGAAATTGTATGTAAAAACTTCAATATGTTTAAAGCCTATGTGCAATTTCAATTTGTAGTAGCATTGTCTTGTAGTCTTAGAGTGAGTGAGTGAGTATGGTTTTACGCCGCTTTTAGCAATATTCCAGCAATATCACGTCGGGGGACACCAGAAATGGGCTTCACACATTGTACCCATGTCGGGAATCGAACCCGGGTCTTCGGCGTGACGAGCGAACGCTTTAACCACTTGGCTACCCGACCGCCCCTTGTAGTCATAGAGATGGGGCGGGCATCCTCAACAGCCCCCGGCGTTATCAGTGGTTGTTATAAGCATGAAGTGTCTAACGGAGATATTTTCACTGTGTATTTTGGGTAATCATCAACTGACAATTCACCCGAGGCTGTAATTCCCCTTAAAGAAGACGGGCTTGGTTTGTTCCAATTGGCTGATCCATCAACTTACATTCAAGTCGTTCAAATTAAGACCATTTTGCTTGTTTGCTGTGTCAAATGTTATTATATCTAGCTAAACATATATAATGTTTACCACGTGGCACGAAATACAACGTTTAGACTGAGGCTGGAAATAAGCGTCTAGTTTATTTTGCATGCGTAACTTTTTCTGATTTTTTAATTGCCATTTGAAAATTGTATGAAAAGAAATAAAATGTACGTGTTACACATAAATCCGGGTTTTTTTGGCAAGTTTTGACTTCATGTGGTCATTTTGGTAAGCTGGCCCTCCCTTCCCTATCGCATAGAAAGCCGGGAACCACCTTATCATTTTGGCTGCAATAGAAATATAAAAAAATAAGTGTGGTATCCATAAGTGCGACATAACTTAGAGTTACTTCCCTTAGAAGACAGCGAATGGCGGACCAAGCCTCTCACGCTTTGTGTGTTTACAAATACCAATTTTCCTAACCTTACGACAGGCCCAAATCTGTTGTATAATTGTCTATGATGAGCGCTGCGACGGAGCCTGATGCATCGGAAACACCATCTCCGGTCGTGCAGGAAATTGTCAGCAACATCAAGTCGCAGGGCTTGTTTGATGAATTCAGAAAGCAATGTTTAGCAGACGTTGATACCAAAGTATGTTTTGTCACTGTATGTGTGTTATAATTGTTGCGTATTTCATCGAAGGACAACATTGCAGTTTACCGGGCGCGGCTTATAGCAGTAATTAGATAGGCTGCCGGCCGTGTGTCTCACTTCAATCAAGGATGCCCCTTACTTAGATCCTTCGTGCATGTCGGGGGCGGTCGGGTAGCCCAGTGGTTAAAGCGTTCGCTCGTCACGCCGAAGGCCCGGGTTCGAATACTGACATGGGTACAATGTGTGAAGCCCATTTCTGGTGTTCCCCGCCGTGATTTTGCTGGAATATTGTTAAAAGCGGTGTAAAACCAAACTCACTCACTCGTGCATGTCGTGATAGGTCTAGTTGTGTTGGGGTTAGGGTAGGTTACACAGCCCTTGGATCTCCTCTCTGATCAACTAACCTTTTACGATTTTTAGGGTTCGGTACCACTTTCCAATAAAACATGGGTGCACGGGTGGCCCAGTCATCTTACATGTTGTCTAAGACGCCGCGATGCACTGTGCACAGTTGCGTCCCTTGGGCACGCCAGAAACCTATGATTGTGGGTTCGAATCCTGGTTCGCCCTGGTTATGTTTCTAGGTTTGTCAGCAACATACCCATGCTCATGGGTTTCACCAGAGTGGTAAATGTCTGAGACCTGCATCACTTCGGGCTTTCCTCCCACATTAAGCTGACACGCCGCGACATAACTGGAATATTGTTAAAAGTGGTGTTAAAACCAACTTACTCACTCACTCCAATAAAACACTATGGTCGTTCTAATTATTTGTGATAGCGCCTTTGGTAAAAATGGTAAAGATTTGGCTAATTAGATTAACTCTTTAGTTTAGCTTTGCTTCGAGCTGACAATGTGAGTTTGATCCTGCAAGTGGTGCTAATTGAAATCTGAAAAAGTGTGTGCGGTAGAGTGCATTATACCCCATCTATGCTATATCCAGTTTTAAGACAAATATTTAGACAGTATTCTTATATATATTCTATAAGTATAACCATCATAACTGCCATGTGGAATAACAGGAATATTACCATAATGATCAGAGGTGGAATGTAGGCTTTTGAAATGGGAAAACATATTTACCCAGATGGTTAACTTGTATTATTGTATGGCCATGGGGAAGATGTTAAGTTTCATATTGTCCATTTCAAAACTCATTGGGCCACATTATAATTATAAAGTAAGCAGGTAAGGTGCCATTGCACATTTTTTCTGTAGTAACATGGACTCTGAGCCCAAACCCAAACAAATGTATCTTTTTATTACCAGTACATATCTGTTGATTTTTTTATGGTGTTAATATTATATGGACTAAGCTGTTCTTACCATGCTAACAAGAAATTTAGCTAGACTGGGGTTTTATACTAGTGGCTGAACATTACTGAAACCACAGACTGAGCATAGCTGCTCAGACCATGACAGACTGAGAGCAAATGTTCAGCATTAAGCATAAGCACTGACATGGCGGATGTGTATATTTTGGTCTGATTGTTAAATCTTATATGCTGTCTGATCATGTGATGGTGTGGACTTAAATAACATGTACTTATGATATCAAAAAGCATTCTTTGAATATTTTTTTTTTTTTTCCCCCTTGGCACCAGTGGTCACATTTAAAACAGAATATTCTGATGCACTTTGGCTCCAGTATTGTGTATTGTAGTGTTTTAATAAGCTGGTGATACATATTGTATAGTGACAGGTCTTTTCATCCTCTACTTAACACCTGAATAATTATGTTCTCTATTCATTCACTATGATAATGGACTACTGACCCTTCACCATGTTACCATGGTTACCATTGAGCTTGCGTAAAGTTGACATATACAATCAAATCTCATCCCAACTGTGTCCTTTTTAATATTTTGAAACAAGATAACGTGATTAGTGTAAGTAGAAAAGAATGCATAAATAGAACATTATCTTGGGCCACTTGTACTGGAAAGGAAACATTCTGGTGGTGAATGTCAGCCCATAGTAACAGATCATCTGATAAAAACATTCAAGAGACAACTCACTGTCCTCACTGACCATGCTGACGATGGTGACAATGGCGCTAATCCTGCTTACCATGCCTACCCTGCTCACCATGCCTACCATGCTTACCATGCCGAACTTGCTTACCATGCTTACCATGCCTACTATCCCTACAATGCTTACCATGCCTACCATGCTTGCCATGCTTTCCATGCTTGCCATGCCTACCCTGCTTGCCATGCCTATTATGCTTACCATGCTTACCCTGTTTACCATGCCTAACCTGCTTACCATGCCTACCATTCTTACCATTCTTACCATGCTTACCATGCTTACCACGCCTACCATGCTTACAGCATCAGGAAACAAACAGAAACTTACTTTTTAATGCAAATTGTCTGAGTGGCGGGGGCTACCGGTGATGCAGGACATGCTTATCCTTTTCGCGAACACCAATTGCCATCACTGATTTTCAGTGATCCATTCATATCATTTTGACCGCTATTTTGCATTTTACGCCCAATTGAATCCATTGTGGCCGTTAATTGAGACTGATTAATTGTCTGGAGGTGTTGATGTTTAATATTTACAGTGAAAACAAGTCCTTCCAAGTGTTGTCTCTGCTTACCTTGCTAAATGGTGAACTGGAACAAGAAGTAAGAAATAATAGTTTGGCTATCCCTGGAATTTGACGCTTGACATGTTTAGTGAGCATGGTGAGAGTTAGTTGTATTGTATCGCAGATTTACTATCAAGGTAAATATTGTATTTCCACAAGGTGTATCATCATGACCCGTGCATTGTTTGTGAACTGAAGAATTATTTGTTTTCACTTTCCAGCCAGCCTATACTAATCTGAAACAGAGAGTGGAGGCCTACGTTGGGAGGTTCCTGTCTACCACAAAATGGAGTCCGAGTCTCAGCAAGAAGCAGCTGAGAGAGAGTCTCAGGAAACAGATAGATCAGTGAGTATCGGGATGATTGTTTTTTTGTAATATAACACCAAGATGAATTGAAATCATTGAAATAGACTGGTTTCATTTGGAGTGTCGACACTTGTCATGTCAAACTGAAGCAGCTAAGAGAGAGTCTCAGGAAACAGATAGGTCAGTGAGTGTCGGAATGATTGTTTTTTGTAATATGACACCAAGATGAATTGAAATAGACTGGTTTCATTTGGAGTGTCGACACTTGGTGTGTCCTTCCTCTGTATGACAAAGTATAGCAAGGTTATCTTTGTACAAGTTTGATTAAAGGCAAACTTTGCCTTGATCATTTGATTTTTTTACAATCATGTATAGTAATGATTATGTTGAGTGTGTAATATGATTGTACACCGCTTTTAGCAATATTTAGCATTTTCATGGCAGAGGACACCAGAAATGAGCTTTACACATTGTACCCATGTGGGGAATTGAACCCGGGCTTTCGGCATGACTAGCGAATGCTTTAACCACTAGGCTACACCACTGCCCTGATTATGTTCATATGGACTCTATCATGTATATGGCTTTGGAGATGGTTCACTTCCTTCTCTGTATTTCACTTTAATACAGCACACCACCTGCCCACTGAGAACAGCCCCGGGTTACCATGGTTACTTGAAGCCATTTTATTGGATGTTTTGGTCAAAAAGGAAAGTCACACCTCCAATTCTTTCTAATTTAATTACCATGATTACTGTATGTCTTAAAAAGTCTTTGGGATGGAAAATGAGAAAACCCCAAACTTATGTTATAATTTGTGTAACCATGGTCTAGAACACAGAAATAGTGAGGCCCGAATTTGAATTGACAAGATTTAAGGTGTGTAATTTGCTTGAGTTATCTGCCTTAGGTATATGTATTCAAGAGTTGCCTCCCCTCAATCATGGCATGGAGCTTTCAGAGGCAGTTTTTGTGTGGCATTTTGACTTAGACCTTGGAGATGCAAGAAAAGTGGAGAGTGGGTGAAAGTGCCAGCTTGATCTGCCCAGTGTTCCTTTCTCTCTGAATGGGAGTGAAGTCATTTCTTTTTGTCTTTTACTGTGACTTGGAGACCCGTGAAGATTCCGGGGTATAATAGGTCTTCAGCAACCCAGACTCAATTATTTACAGACCGCCGTCATATAGATGGAATATTGCTGAGTGCGGCGTTAAACAACAAACCAACCAACCAACCAACTACTTTGACTTGGCTGCAATACTGCTGAAATGCTGAAAGCAGCATCATAACCTACTCACTCACAAATTAACGTACTCCTCACACACTGTATTCTACAAACTATTCTGCAGGTCTGGAATGCTGAACAATGGCGTGGAGCGAATCATCGAACAGGTTGTGAACCCCAAAATATTCCAGGTGATCAAACCTAAGATTGATGAGGCAGTGTGTAAGCACCTTGGCATTGATCCAAAGGAATACCAGGAGAGACAGCAGCGACGAAAACTGCAACAGCAGCTTCAACATCAAGCAGCACAGCAACAGGCTCAACAGCAACAGCAGCAGGTTGGATCATCGCCTGCTACACCAGGTAATAGTGGACGCTGTGGGGATTCCAGGGTAGACTAGGGGGTGGACTACTAAATACCCCATGTATTTTATATTATAAACAACGTTGTTGTTGTTGTTGTTGTTGTTGTTGTTGTTGTTGTTAATTCCAGGGTAGACTAGGGGGTGGACTACTAAATACCCCATGTATTTTAGATTATAAACAACGTTGTTGTTGTTGATTCCAGGGTATATTAGGGGGATTGGAACTCCAAATACCCCATGCATTTTATATTATAAACATTGTTGTTGTTGTTTTTGATTCCAGGGTAGACATGGGGGGTGGAATACCAAATACCCCATGTAATTTATATTATAAATGATGTTGTTATTGTTTTTGATTCCAGGGTAGACATGGGGGGTGGAATACCAAATACCCCATGCATTTTATATTATAAACATTGTTGTTATTGTTTTTGATTCCAGGGTAGACATGGGGGGTGGAATACCAAATACCCCATGTATTTTGTATTATAAACGATGTTGTTGTTGTTGCAGTTGATTCAGAGCCATTCATGCACTGGCCATTCTGATCTTGCATGTGGAACAGAAGTCTGATTATGATTAATAAAATGTCAGAGCGTTGATTATCTTGAAATAATGCTCACCTGCATTGTAACTCCAGTTACCTCCCTTTAGTCAGTTTTGCTTCATTCTTTGTATTTTTGGTCTCATCTCTTCTTCTTTTTCTCCAGGATTCTCTTCTCCTGAGTATAATGTCATGATGGGAGGATTCACTCCGACTTACCCCCCAGATGGTGTGTGGACTGGACAGACCCCCTTCTCCCCACCCAATGTCAACAACCCTCCCCCCGTCCCTTTCTCTTCCCCTCCCTTCAATTTTGGGATGATGCCCCAGCCCTTCCCATTTATGCCAGGGTGGCCCCCTGGAGTGAACATGTTCAACCACCTACCCCCATTAAATGTCCCACCCCCACCCCTCCCTGGTGCCACTGCTCCCCCAGGAGCCGCTAAAGCCGCACCTTTCATTCCCCCTCCCACAAACATCCCCCCTCCCACAAACATCCCCCCACCTACAACTACCCTGCCACCCACAAACATCCCTCCACCCAGCCTCCCCTTACCTGACGTCTCTGTGCCCCCTCCCAACATGCTTCCAAACCCTGGCAGCAAGACACCCCCACCCCCGGGCACTGTAGACATGGCTCCTATTACCCCAGGGTATGCAACTCCAAGCACCCCAGCTCCTCCAGGAACTCCTGGTCCCCCTGTTATTGCCACACCCCCTACCCCAGCCCCTGTCCCCACAGTCTCACCCTCAGTTGGGGCATTGAATCTCCTGGCTAATGTTAGCAGTTATGCTTCAAAAGAATCAAAACCTGAGGTGAAACCAGCAGAGCCGATTAAAAAGGAACCGTTTACACCTCCACCGCCACCCACAGAACCAAAGATTAAAATAGAGGTGAAGAAAGAAATGGTTGAGAAAGAATCCATCAACGTGGAACCAAGTTTGGAAGAAATCCCCCTACCAGCTGTTCCAGCCCCAAGAGACTTGAAACCACCAGAGACTGAGAAGAAGGAGCCGGAGACGACAGAGACAAAACGACCGTACAAGTTTGCCTGGACTGTGAAGGATGAGGACGAGATGTCGGATGTGACGGTCAGCTCCATCCACACCAGTGATCTGTCATCGTTCGAGGATGAGATGCTGGAATTGTTTTCTGAGAGTGATGATGAGATGGAGGTAACGGAAGAACTGGAAACTGAAAAGGAAACTGAAGGTGAGGTGGATTGAGCTGAATTATGTTTCAGATTCTTGTTTCAATAAAAAAACAAAAACGTTTTCATTGCTTTGATGGAAAAAACCAGTTGTGACTAAATTTTTGTTGAACATGTTGAAAGGCTAGATTTCTTTTGGAGGGCCTTTCATTTTCTACCTGTTGAAGTTATTATCCCCCAACACGAAGTGGAAGGGGGTATAGGAATGGGTCCGTCACTTTTTATTTCTGTAGCAGAACTCAAAAACCATGAGAGATGTCTAAACCAAACTTGGCACATAGATAGGTCTAGTGGTGAACTGGTGCCTTTTGATAGTTTGGGATTTAAAAAAATAATTTTTTTGAGTTTCAATGGCAACAACTTTGATCTTGAAAACCATACCATATTTCTTCACCAAACTTGGCACATAGATAGGTCTAGTAGTAAACTGGTGCCTTTTGATAGTTTGGGATTTTTAAACAAAATATTTTTTGGGTTTCCATACTGAAAATGGTAGTAGTGCTCGTTTCCAGAGCAGATGTTGAAAACTGTACAATATTTCTTGCCTTGCACACAACCGGACATGCCATATTGGCAGGGGATATGAGTATTTCATGCTTCTGTAAATTGTGCTTTCGTTTACGTGGCAAAATCAAAATTGTCTAAAAGATATAATTTGTTCAGTTGAAAGTATGGTCAGATGAGAAAATAGAAAATGATATAATGACAGAAACATTCTGCTCCTGGTGTCATCTTTCTCTGAATAATCTGTAAATGAATTAAGCAGAAGATGAAGATGATGAAAAACCTCCTGGCTTAACAGTGGTTGACATTCTATTCATTTATAGCTGAGAGTGACAAGGGAAGTCCAGAGAAGAAACCCAGTCTGCCGAAGCCCCAGGCAGTTCCTGAAGTAGTGACCAGTAGTGCTGACTCGACATCAACACCAGTCAGACCCCGCAAACTTCTGGCCTTGACCTACAACCTCAGCGATAGTGAGGATGATGAGACCAGGGAAGAGAGGAAGGCTAGAATTGTAAGTTGGCTTTTCATAATTTGGTCAAGAGGTGAGACTATTATCAGATAATGGGTCTTTAGAAACCCATGCTTAACGTTAAAGGCGACTGCTTGTCATAAGCGATGACTAATGGGATCGGGTGGTCAGGCTCACTGGCTTGGTTGATGCATGTCATCATATCCCAACTGCATGCATCGATGCTCATGATGTCAATCACTGGATTGTCTGGTCCAGACATGATTATTTACAGACCGCCGTCATATAGCTGGAATATTGCTGAGTGTGGCGTTTAACAACAAACAAACAAAACAAAATATTATCAGATTAGATATCTCATCATCTAGGTATTTACCCCACCTGTTAATTCAGATGTTACTATTCCAACTTGACCTTGAAATCTGTAAGTGACCTCATTCGACCTCGACCTTTGCTTTCACCTCATTCGACCTTGACCTTCTCTTCTAGGCCAAGGAGAAGGAGGAGCGTTATCTGAAGAGACTGCAACGCCGTGCTGAGCTAGAGGCGAAACGGAAGGATCGAGAGGAAGAGAAAGCAAGATTGAGAGAAGAAAGGAGGAAAGCTAAAGAAGCCAAGGCTGAGTCATCCATTGAGGAAAAGACAGAAGAATCAGGTATGTCCGTCACCTGACTATTACGGTTGTTTGCCAGCACTATACCCATGCTCATAGGTGTACCAATGTGGTTAACATGTACGACCTGTGCTACCTTGGACTTTCATCCCTGATGACTAACCCCTGTTGGGATTCTGGGTTAGAACAGGTCCCCAGCAACCCATACAGTAGTAAGAGGCAGCCAAATCAATCAGGTGGTTCACTCAGTGACTTGGTTGATTGTGTGTCTTCTTACTCCAACGTCTTGGGTCATTGCTGACAATATTGATCACTTGATTGTCTTGTCGATTATTACAGATTATTAACAGGCCACCTGAGATAAATGAGTTCACATAACTTCACTATATTTTTATATAATTTGTTTTAAAATGCTCCATTTTCAGTGAGTAAAACCGAAGAAGAACTGAACACATCCGTGACGTCCATCACCTCAACGACGTCCCAAGATGAAGAAGAAACGAAAACGGAGAAGAAGACCCTTCCTCGGAGAAGAACCAAGAAGCAGTTGAAGGAACAGCTGATGCAACAGAAGGTGATGGAGAAGAAACTAGCTCTCCGACGACAACGCAAACGCAACACACGCTACACCTCGGAGGAGTTCGAGACCATTTTCACCGAAAAGAAACAGCCCTTCAGTAGTCAAAGCTACACCGAAGAAATCATTACTGATGTTGTTGAGGAGACCATTGAGATTGATACGTCCGAGTACGTTATTCCCGAGGAAGTGGAAGTCCAGCCAAACTCACCAGCAACTCCTACACAAGACGAACAGTTCAATCTGGACAGTGTTAGCAATATTCCCTTGCCGGAACAGCCTATCCCCATCGTAGAAGTGGCCCCGCTTGCCAGCACCACTTTGACGGTGGGTCAGTCGGTGCACATCACAAGGTCGCGCAGCAGGTTGAGTGACGACAGTAAAAGTAATGACACTAGTGGCAGGGACAGACCTGCTTCTCCGTACAGTGATATATCGGATACGTCGTCACGGACAGACTCGGAGAAGGCGGCTCCAAGGAGAAAGAGGAACATTTCAGGGGAGAGCAGCCAGTCAGGACAGACCCCAATGCGGCGGTCGCAGAGGACAGTGAGTCCTAACGAAGAAGTGCCAGCGCGGCGAGGGAGAAAAGACTCAGGGAGGTTAGTTGAAGCAGAATTTCATGAACCTGTGGAAATTCTGGTCCCAAGCAACCTGACCCGTGAAGATTCCGGGGTAGAATAGGTCTTCAGCAACCCATTCTTGCCGTAAAAGGTGACTTTGCTTGTCGTAAAAGGCGACAAACGGGATCAGGTGGTCAGACTCGCTGACTTGGTTGATGCATGTCATCGATCCCAATTGCGTGGATCGATGCTCGTGATATTAATCACTGGATTGTCTGGTCCAGACCGCCGTCATATAGCTGGAATATTGCTGAGTGCGGCGTAAAACAACCAACCAACCAACCCAAGCAACCTATACTGGTTTGAAGAACGGACCAAATGGATAGGTGGTCAGACTGGGTGACTTTGTACATTGTGTGTCCTTGTACCCCCAGGGCTTGTTGTTCACAATGTCGATTACTGGATTGTCTTGTCCAGACTATTATTTACAGCCGCAGTCATATTGCTGAGGGGGCGGTCGTGTAGCCTAGTGGTTAAAGCGTTCGCTCGTCACGCTGAGGACCCGGGTTTGATTCCCGACATGGATACAATGTGTGAAGCCCATTTCTGGTGTCCCCCGCCTTGATATTGCTGGAATATTGCTAAAAGCGGCGTAAAACCAAACTCACTCACTCACTCATATTGCTGAGCGTGGTATTAAACAACAAGCAATACAAAACTGAAATTAGCGGAATTTGATATCCTGTAGCCGATTAACTTTGAACATGTTGAAAGTATTGTTGTGCTCAACATGAGAGCAGAATTTTATTAAATTTGAAGTTGACGTTCACCCGCTTCATAAGCTAGTCACTGATAGTGATTGTTTTTTATCCAAAAGTTAATGTCTTAAATGAAACATGTCAACTGTAAACCTTTTATGAAACATCACTCAACATTCATTTTGATCCAGACTCAGTGGTTTTGACACAAAAATCTGTAAAGAGGTCAATTACTTGGACCCAAGAAATGTAATAAGTCAACATGGTCAATGGCTAGAGTCAATTGGCCAAAGTCTGAAAGTTACAAACAGATGAATCTTTGTAACAAATCAATGCAATACTGTTCGTGATTGGATAAATATATACGATCTGGCCAATGAACATCGCGGTTAGAAAGGTGCTTGACCAAGTCACTATAGCTCCTGACAGCATTTCCCTATGATACCGAAAGTATGATGCAAAGACCCGCACTTTATCAGAATTTTAATTATGATTTTTGATGGCTGTGCATTTTATTAAATCTGTACTGTAATCCTCACTATTTTCTTTTAATTAATGAAAGTATGACACATGTGATGCTTTGCTTAGCTTTTCTATCGGTCAGAAGTCTGACTACTTAAACAAACCATCTGTCAAATTGAAATTTTATCGGTCTATGACCGGTGACCGATGGCCATCTGAAACTCTGTGACTGCATTCTTTCCTCAGAGGCAAATCCCCAGATGCAGATGGCAGGAACAAGTCTAGTCAGAGATACAGCACGGACGACCTCTACAAGCCTAGAATCAGTCATCGCAGACCTTTGACGCCACCTGCCGCCAAGGAGTCACCAGATACGCCAGTCAGAGGTCTTCGTAGTGGGTAGGTGGACGTTGCTTGGGGGAGCAATATTGAATATATTTACCGTATTCGACGTAATAAGCACCCAGGGCACTCTCAAAATTAGAAATAGGGGGCTCTTATTTGAATATTATTTTGGTGAAAAAAATAGAGTTGAAAGAGAAATTTCGTGGTTTATGCTGACAGCCTGAAATGTTTATGTACGACAGATATATATTTCCAGAATTAAATGCCCATAATTAAGTGTGCATATAACACATGAGTGCGTATTATACGCGAATAAATAAGTCTTGCGTACATTGATCAATCGGAAGGGGTGCTAATTGGGATTGTTAACTAGCCAATATCTCAGCAAATGTCGCCATGGGCGCTTATTAGAGCGGGGCGCTTATTTCGTTGAATACGGTAGTATATTCTTGCCTTCTTGATTTTCCTGCATCTGTGACACTATATGAAAATGCATCTGTAATAAATGCATTTAGTTTCTGCTTTTCAGCTAGCATGGCTTGATTCAATTAATTCTTGTTTTGAGGCCTTTCAATTTGTGAAATTAGGGGAGCCAGAATTGGACAATAAAACAAAGTAACTTTCTGTAACCAATTTTTCTGACTGTAACCATGATAACCATTCTATTACAAAGCTATTACAGTGGTGCAATATATTACAATTAGTATGGGGAATTCCTTATAAAATCATGATTGATGATTTGATCGTCACAATTGATCAGTGAAATTAATCGGTTGTCATTTTGCTTTCTCTCAGTATTTAGTAAAACTAGATCACACTTAAGAAACACTAGTCCTTACTTCAGCACTTTATTTTGCAAAAAGGACACTGACATCACTCTTTCTCACTTTTTTCCCTAAGTTGTAATGTAAGTAGTGAATAAGCCCCCTCAAGAAACAAAACTATCACATGTTTTTTCTTAGAAATTAAAACTAAAAAGGTACAAAAACTTTTGGCTCTTTGTAGGGCTTCCACGAGTCCAAATTTTTGGACTCGAGTACCCGAGGGGTGAAACTCGACTCGTACTTGAGTACCCGAAAATAGGACGTCCTTTAAGAATATTGGTTCATTAGATCAAAATTGCCATCTAAAAGTATTAAAACATGTTATAAGTATAATTGAACTGCACTGAAATGTAAATAGAGAGCGTCCACGGAACTTGTTTATCTGTCAAAGTGTATGGAAGTGTTCAGTGTTAATGTTTGCTTATAACTGCACTAATCTTAATCACTACCTTCAAAAACATTACGTCACGTCTACAAATACTACAATACATATTGAACACAAACCAAGCTTTTTTCTGACGATCAGTGTTTCATTCGACATCTGCCAACAAGCACGAACAATAATTTGCAGGAAGAAAATCGATAATGTGCATCACGTGACATACACGTATACACAGCTGCTGGGCTGCAAGACTAAGGCCGCTAAATATGGAAATGAAGTACTGTAAGTTCATTCATTCATGAGTTGGTCACGTTGTCAAACTGTACCAAACTGTTGACCTGTCGCTTGATTTGTAAGCACTGAATTAGCACATATATATCAGCTAATCAGTTGTTAATCTGTGTAAGGGAATACACTTGGCATTTGAGTCAGAGCAAAGAAGCAATAATCGCCTTGATACATTCAATTTCTTAAAGTCGGGAAGGAAAAACAATAACTACGTCTATTGTATGTGACATTCTCAATTGTTCTAATGTACATCTACTTTCTACAAAGAATACATTATTCAAACAATATTTTTTTATGCTTTAATCAATATATTGATGAACAATTGAACATTGAAACAGAGTGATCTCCCCTTATCAAGTACTCGAGTCCTTGATAACGGATTCGAGTCCCAGTAAAACCGACCCGGCCCCGAGTACTCGAGTACTTGTTGAAGCCCTAGCTCTTTGTTCACATAACTTGAAGACAGGACAAAATCATATGTGTTCAATCAATCTTTGATTATCAGAACACCAATTATTACAACGCTATTGTAAATCCCCCCCAAGAAGCACCTCTGTTGAGATTTTGTATGGATACCACATGATTAAGAACATTATTGTCATTTCAGTCGACAAAGGAGTTCACCTGTGGTTGCAGAAGCAGTAAAAAAGATAGACACTCCTGCATCCAAGTCAACAGCAGATGAAGCAGAGAAAGGCACACGAGACACTGAGTCCCCAGCTGTTGAAATAGTCAAAGTTGAGATGCCCCAGGAACCCAAAGGAAGTTCAAGGTCAAGTAAACCTGACCGGCGGCGGCGGCGGAGGAGGAGGAGGAGGAGTGAGTCAGATTCAGATTCAGATTCGGAGCGATCAAGACGGAGGAAGAGGCACAGCTCTGATTCATCCAGCAGATCAGGAAGTTCGGACAGCAGACACCATCGCAGACACAGACATACCAGCTCCAAGACCAGCCAGTCAGCTAGTTCAAGTGAAGAGGAGGAGACTGATGAATTTGGGAGAATTATCAGACGAGGCGGTCGGAAGAAGTCTCGCACTAGGAGCAGAAGTAGAAGTAGAAGCAGCTCCAGCACTTCTCGTAGGTCACGGTCAAGGTCGTTGTCAAAATCAAGATCAAGGTCAAGGTCAGTTTCAAGGTCAAGGTCAAGGTCTGTTTCCCCCAAAGAGAGAAAGAGACGTAGAAGCCAGTCCAAAGAGAGAGGAGGACCACTCCAGTCATGTTCGGATATCAGCTCCGGATCTGATTTTGGGGACATTGTGGAGGAAGAGGATAAACGTCCATGTGCAAAGACTCCGATTGACAGAGTTGACTTCGGTGAAGCAGAGAAGAGGCTGCGAAGGGCTAGACTTGCTGATGTGGACTTTGGTGAAGCAGAGAGAAGGACTAGACAAATGGACATGAGGCCTATGGACGTTAGACCTATGGACATGCGGCCTATGGACATGCGGCCTATAGACATGAGACCAATGGACATGAGACCCATGGACAACAGGTTGAGGAAAGGACACATGTTCTTTGGAGAAGCAGAGAGACGTTCAAGACAGTTGTAAGAATTTTTATAGTTTTCTGTTTCTGATCTGTTTACATTTGGCTAACTCGTCTCTCTCTTCCAAAACATTTGGAACTTTAAGTTCCTCATCTCTTTCAGTAGATTTTACTCTCAATCTCATTGAAATCAGATCTTAGTTCTCTCTACCGCTAAACAAAACGTTAACCATGTTTACACAGGGTATTCCAAACAGCAGTTACAGGTTGTATGAATGTTTCTGTCAAAGTCACCGGCTATCTCTCTTTTCAATGGGATAATCATTTAAAATGGACGACACCTTCCATAGGAATTACTGCCATACAATCTTGCCCATCTTATACACATTCCAAATTTTCTTTCGTTCAGTTTTCAGATTTTGAGTCGAGAAAGTTGTCAAAATAGTTTTCAAAGTGTAGTCTGGAATGGCCATTTTGAAACTACATGTAGTGTAGAGTTCAAGAAACCTGCTTTCTGATTTGCTAATGTCGACTTCTTGTTCGTCATTTCATTGGTTGGTCAAAGTTTGTGAAGATCATTCTGATTCTACCACTAATGAGATGTCCTCAGACCTTTGTGTAGCATTAGTGAGCACTGATATCTGATACTCATGTGATTGATTTCTATTTGTATGTGTTGTCTCATGTTGTTATGTCAAGCTTTGTAGACCCAAACCCCCTGGGGGGATTCCGGGCTAGTGGAGGTCCCCAGCAACCTAAGCTGGTTGTCAGTGGCAACCACAGGGTCAGGGTCTGTGACCTGGTTGATTCCAGGTCATTGTATCCTGACTGTGTGGATAGTTTCTCACAATATCAGTGACTGGATTGTCTGGCCCTGGCACTAGTATTTACAGGCTGCCGTCATATAGCTGGAATATTCCTAAGTGTGGAGTTAAACTACAATAATGAGACCCAAAAGATTTATTACCAGACTCTGGGTTTGGACTTGTTGGTGTTTAATAAGCCTGGCCCTGACTTGACTATTTACAGGCTGCCATCATATAGCTGGAATATTCCTAAGTGTGGAGTTAAACTACAATAATGAGACCCAAAAGATTTATTACCAGACTCTGGGTTTGGACTTGTTTGTCTTAAATGAGCCAACTGGTTAATGTAGGTTCGATATGTAGCCATTCAGTTCAAACATCAGGTGAAAAGACTTGTGTTTGTCCTTTGGAAATCTGAAGCATATATCTTGTAATTTCCTCATGAATTGAACGGTTGTATCACATCTTTATGCATGTTAAAGATTTCTTCATATATCAGTGACTAATAAATGTCAGGTGCGGTCGGGTAGCCTACTGGTTAAAGCAATCGCTTGTCACGCCGAAGACCCGGGTTCGATTCCCGACATGAGTACAATCTGTGAAACCCATTTCTGGTGTCCCCTGCAGTGATATTGCTGGAATATTGCTAAAAACGGCGTTAAACCATACTCACTAATAAATGTCACCGATCTGTGTCATTGTTTTAGCTGGAATGACAATCTTTAATGTCTTCATTTAATAAGGTTGATGTTGTTTTAAATTTAACATCTAAATCTGATGCATTCTCAATGTGTGTTTCCTTTCCAGGTCCATAGCCAAGAACTCCCCTCAGTATTTCCGGGAGTGGCAGGCCCACCGATCTCCTCGCGGCTCCATGGAAAGCAGATCTCCTCCCCGGTCCCGCTCCCCACTCGGATCCTACAGCAGTGGGTCGGAGAGCTTCAGCAGACCTGGAGCATCTCCAGGACGTGGTTGGGATGATATGGGACGTCCAGCGCAATTCAGGGAAGGATCTTCATCTCCTCTGAAGCGGCCTGTGTCTCCAGATATGAGAATGAGAGGCTCCCCTATGCGTCATCTTCCATCACCTCCTTCACCCGACATGAGACATGCATCACCAATGATGATGAGGAGAGGCTCCAGTCCTGAAATGAGGCGACCTCCGTCTCCTCTCGAACCTCGTATGACGCGTGGTAGAAGGCCCATATCTCCAGACGACCTCATGGACCAGCCACCATCACCGCCAGATATTTACAGATCACCTTCACCAGACTCACCACCGGGTATTCGAAGACAGTCTCGACGCCCAGCATCCCCACCTGATCATCGACGTCCCCCATCACCACCAATGCAGCCCAGACGCCGTCCTCCATCACCTCCTGATATTAGACACTCACCTGGCAGACGCCCCCAATCCCCTCCCATGCCAGGTAGACAGTCATCCCCAGAGCTACGACGCCAACAATCGTCACCTGGCCGCCGACCAGTATCTCCTCCAATGAGTGGCCGCCGGCCAGTATCTCCTCCAATGAGTGGCCGCCGGCCAGTATCTCCTCCAATGCCTGGCAGAAGACCAAATTCTCCTCCACTACCTGGCAGAAGACCACCCTCTCCACCAATGCCTGCCAGGCGACCTGTGTCACCTTCAGATCTCAGACGTCCTCCATCATCACCACCACGGAGGCCGCCATCCCCCGAAACACCTCCAGATCTGTGTCACCAACCTCCATCACCTGGGAGACGTCCACCATCACCCATGGAGGAATCTCCATCACCTCCAGATCTTCATGGTCCTCCATCCCCACCAGAGATGAGACAAACTCGACTATCAAGCTCAGAGTATACTGGACCACGAACAAGAAGACATGCTCCTTCGCCCACAGAAATGATCACCCGTGGACGCCATACCAGAAGCCCTCTTCAACCCCCTGAACCGATGGGCCGAGGACGAAGGGGAGCAAGTCCTTCTGTTCCTGGTGCAACAGTAGGAAGACCTCGGAGAGTAAGAAGCCCTTCACCCCCTGAGGTCACAGGTCGTGGTCGTCGAACTAAGAGATCGCCAAGTCCCCCTCCTCTTATGGAAGGAATTGGGCGTGGGAGACGAGGCAGAAGTCCTACAGCCATGTCTCCACGGCCACCTTCCCCTCCACTCACGAGGATGGAAAGAAGGGGTCAGAGACCTCCATCTCCACCCTCGCCAATTGTGAGGGAAACGCGACGACAGAGAAATGCATCACCTCCTCCACAACCAACAGTAACTCAGCGAGAGACACGATCCATGGCTGCACCGCCCGTGAGAGAAACGAGAAGTCGACGAGAGAAGAGTCCACCAACCAAAAGAGCCAGAAGATGAAACTAAACAAACAGTTGTGCAGAAATTGTTGAGGGTTCGACTGTATGAGAAATTCTCCATGATAAATCAGGGCGGTGGGGTAGCCTACTGGCTAAAGCGTTCGCAGGTCATGCTGGAGACCCAGGTTCGATTCCCCACATGGGTACAATGTGTGAAGCCCATTTCTGGTGTTCTCCGCTGTGATATTGCTGGAAAATTGCTAAAGGCGGCGTAAAGACATATTCATTCACTCATGATAACTCCATCACTAGGAGCCAGGAAATGAAGAAAGACATGTTGCTGTGCTATGGGTGCAGCCTAGTGGTTATAATGTCGGCTTGTCACACCCATCAAGCTGTAGTTCCCAGCACGTTACAATGGCATGCTATTCAGGGAAAGGTGGGATAAGACCTCCCTCAGTGGGTGGAAATGGTGTAGATTAATAATGGTAAGCTTTCCGCATCATAATCCCAGCTACAGTGCCCACACTGAACAACAATGTTTTGCAATACTTTTAAATGTGCCGTTAGTCTTCAAAATTCATGCTAGCCCGAGACTACAAAATTTGGCTGAGGACCAGAAACAAATGCAGTTTTTGCCTCCAGGTGCAAGTCGACATATTAAGCAACCTGTTCCAGCAAGCGTCCCCAACATTTTACAAACATATTGTCATGTTTCCTTTATAAGATAACACATATATTTCCTTCCCCACTACTGTTCATACTCCTTAAAGCTTTCTTGTAAGTGCCCATCCTATGAAAATTGTATGAACCCTTGGCACTTACTTATTCAAATGGGGCAGTGGGGTAGCTCAGTGGTTAAAGCTTTAGCTTGTCATGCAGAAGGGCTGGGTTCGATTCCCCACATGGGTACAATATGTGAAGCAATTGCAGTGATATTGCTGGAATATTGCTAAATACAGTGTAAAACTCTCTTCTAAGTCACTGTACATCTTCACCCATTGATCCCAGTAGATAATGTTTGTTCGAGATAGCCCTGTGTTCAAATGACATTATCACGAATCAATACCAATTATAATCAAGTTTGTAAAATACTGTAAAATATTCCCGTTTTGTATTCTGTAGGGCTGTAATGATGCTCTTCACAATTCTTGGTTACACAATTCCAAGTGTCATCGTGATGTTATAGCAATACATTAAGATACATGTCATGTTAAGGAAATAAAGTTTAAAATTCCCTGTTCTGATGTTTACAAGAATTCTCAAGCCATCGTTAGTTTCACTCAAGTTTATTAAATATGTCTTGGTTTGGTCTCTAGCCATTCCCATTATGTGACGAGTGTTGAGTTTTCATGCATCTTATCATGTTTAGTATCATAGCCTTACCTTCGTACCATATCTCCCATTGCCACAATGTGTGTATTGTTACACCTATGAAGATCCTGGTCTGCTGCAAACCATGCTTGTTGTAAGAGGCGACTAACGCTATCGGGTGGTCAGGTTCATTCACTTGGTTGATGCATGTTATGTCCAATGTTCATTATATCAATCATTGGATTGTCTGGTCCAGACTTGATCATTTATGGATTGACGTCATATAGATGGAATATTGCTGAGTGTGGCGTTAAATGTAGTTTGACATTCTATTGTAGTGCTATTTAGATTGTACATTCGATTTCACACACATTTGATGAAATGTCAGAAAAAAGATCATGTTTATTAATAGTTTTGCATGACTTGTCTTTGACATGTTATTGTAAATAATGGTGTAAATATTCAGAGCATATTATAATGTCAGAAACAATATGCATTTTGTTATTTGTTTGGAGTAGAATTTGTTCCTTTCTTTGAGACTGCCTCTATGGTCTAGTGGATAGTGTCTGCCCAGAAAGCAGAAATTTAGTGGTTCGATTTCCGCACTTGTACCGAACGTTAAAAGATGGTACTTGTTGTTACCTTGTCTGGGATAAAACAAGGGATGATCAGCTCGGGAGTCTGAATGGGTGTCTGTGTTATGTTGTGGCATGGCATCTAAGTGGGTGGCACTATAAAATGCTCGTCACTTAGTGCAATATTGAAAGAGATTATAAAACGCCCATTTTTCTTCACCTCCTATCCTACAAACTTGGATCAAGGTGTGGGAGTTTGATGGCAGAATGAGTCCAAGGAACCCAGGCTTGTCATAAAAGCAGGACCGCCTCCGTGGTCTTGTGGATTGTCTGGTCCAGACTCGATTATTTACAGATCACCGTCATATTGCTGGCATATTGCTGAGTGCATTGTTAAGCAACAAACAAACACAATCTTAAGAGCAGACTAATTAGGTTAGGGACCACTTCCGTGGTGTAGTGGATAGAGTGGAAGGTCGGTAATTCAATCCTCTGGCCACGTCATACATTCAGAGATGGTACTTTTTGTTACCCTGCCTGGTGCTCCGCATTAAGGGATAAAAACAAACAATGGTTGGATGGAGTCAAGGAAGGTGTACACAGTGATCAAAATAAGCGCCCGCCCAGAGGCCAGTGGCAGGTAGATCTCGTGTCGGGCCTGTACTTTGCATGGGTAAGTTGTACGGGTTCTTATGGGTTCAGTAAATTAATGTGTTTATTTATTGACACAGTCTGCTGCAGTTTTCAAATGAGGACCTGAAGAGTTTACTCGGGGCCTGCAGCTTCTAAAGTCTGGGGTCCTGATGGCAGTCTGGCATTTCTTTATGTCAACACTGTGTGTACATTATCCCCATTATCATTGGATGCAGATCTCGGGTGTACACAGTGTGCAAAATAGCTGCTTGCCCGATAGCCTGTGGCTAGCAAAATTTTCTTGGCCAAATGATTCTGAAATGTCCCGAGACCGACTGGCTACTGAAATTGTAACTGTGATTTTCTTAGGCCCACCTCTTTGTTGATAAAAAAAAGAAAGTTCCATTTCTGTAGATCTGTATGACCATCAAAATTGTTCAAAAATAATTCATATCCATATCGAAGCGAGGTGGCAAGGTAGTGTGATCAGAGATCCCCTCATAATATCTGACTTACCTTTAGGGGTTACCTTATTGATTAGGGGTTACCTTGTCTCATATAAAAGCAAGTGAAATTGAAACTGGCTGCTAACTTTAATGGCTAGCTAGCCCCCCTGGCCAGCAATATTGAGACTATTTCACACACTGGTACCTTTGGGGGCGAAGTTTAAGCTCCAAGTATGGTATAAATTTGTAAGACATTTTCTTATACTATCCCCATATCATAATTGCCCTAATAAGAGCCCTTGGCTCCTTGTCAAAGGAGGGACCCTTCTTAAAACCATACACAAATTAAATGTATTTTCAGATATCGAGCGGTAGAGAAGAAAGTCACATTTTCAGTGGTATTCCCCTTCTGAAATGTTTAAAGTTTTTGTCTCATATGGGGCGCTTACAGAGATTACAGATAGGTCTTATACTGGGGCACTTATAAAGATTTCTTAAAGGCTGATGTAGACAATGGTGAGGAGAGGTTTAACGTCGCGTCCAAGATTATTGCACTTATATAGCGACGTGCATGCACGTGTGTGTTTGTGGCTGCTTATACTAGTCTGGACTGATGCCGATTTATAGTGCTAGCTCACTGAGATACCATGCCGCAGTTTAACATGAATACCCCACTCAGACACAGTATACTGACTCCGAGCCGACCAGTCCTTGTTTTAGCCCCTTAATGCCGAGCGCCAGACAGGGTAACAACAAGTACCATCTTTTAACATCTTTTGGCATGACACGGTTTGGGATCGAACCCCGGACCTTCCGCTCTCCGGGCGGACGCTCTACCACTAGACCACGGAGGCGATCTTGATGTAGACATTGGCCAGGTGGTTCTTATTGGAGCAGGGTCTTGGATCCTTTGCTGACAAGATTACAAGTTGTAGTAAGGCTCACATCTTGCCGTCTTGATACTAAATTATACCTCGCTCACATTAAAATTTACCCTTCAAGTAACAAGGCTGCAAAAGCACAACAAACATCAAAGAAATACTTCAAGGACATTTATTCTGACATACTTGTATACATACACACACATTCATTTCTGTGAGTATATAATGTCATATTTGCCCAAGAATCCACCCCATCAGACATCCCACTCACAAGCCCCCTACACTACAACCCCCTTCCCCAGAAGTCCAATAACCCACCCTTGATTCATACAATTCTCTCTCCTCAATCCCATTTACCTCCCACAGTCCACCCTTTAATCCCCACCCCCCAGTCCCATCAATTTCTATCTCGCTTCAGCCTTACCCCACATAACCACAATATGGACGACAAAGCATGAACTAAACACTGTAGACCGCCAAAAGCTGTTACAATGTACAAGTTTGGCTCTAATGAGATAGTAAATAATACAGTTTATTCAACCAATGGATTGTTGGATTATATTCACTATGGTTGAAAGCTTACTATGGATACTATAGGGTACAATGTGTAGGTTGTCATGTTTTTGATGTTTTGTAATGAAAGTGTTAACAATACTGATGGTCTGTATGGACATGAGGACTTAGGCCAGACACTTTCTAAAACTTAGTTTACGAATCCGCAAAACAATTGAAAAATGATATGTTAAAAATAAAATAAAATGAAAAGCAGAGTTTTTTATTCTGCCTACCAGAAATAAGGAAAATGTTAAAAAAATTATCAAAAATTACATTTGAAATTGGAATTGTTTAATGCATTTTTTCGACCTACCGACCTGAGGTTTTGGGCCGAAAACCTGTAAACCAAAAACAAAAATAAGTCTGGGCTTAATGAACTATATATTATGCCACAAAATAATCTAAGAGTCAACAATAATACAAGACATGTTAAACGAGTTTGCAATAAGGTCTTATGGTTTTTTTAGTTGGTTTACGAGACAGACCAACCAAAAAAATAAAACGCAATAAAAGAAAGAAAAATGACATTGGACCAAAGTGTTTTGGCCTGATATTATTAGTGAAATGAAACAAACCCACAAGAGACACCCACAGTTGTTCATGAGAAATGGTACCGGTAAATAAAACATATAAAAATCTATATTCTACCCAAAAAAACTTTGGTATCTTGCCATGTTGTTTTTCATTCATTAGTAGCATTATTATGATCTTTTTTCGACCACCTACATCAAATTTTGGACCAATATTTTTAAAACAACTAGTAAAAATAAAAAGGCCAACTTCAATTTAATGAAACTAAACACTCGGCCTCAACATGGAGAAAAACTCATAAGTCTTGAAGGACAATAAGCCACTTTGGAATGGCATCCTTCGTTAACTTTTCCTCATCCTCATCAGCTATGAAAAATATCTCAGGCACCGCCCGCTTCCTCACAAATTCCGCCGCATGTTTCGTTTTTGAAAAAAAATAAAAATACTTAAATATTCCAAATCCAACAGTAGTCAAATACTGTATTCCACTATTTTACTCATCAAGGAATACATTTATGTAGGGAGGCCCTTTCCCAGGTTGGTGGTACACAACTGTTTATTTGGTTACATACTAGTTTGAACAACCAAAAAAAAGACACTGCCCGCCCACACTATACATGTATTTTAAAAAACCATTTCTGAGAACCCATTCTTTTATTTTATTAAGCCTAACAAATAAAAGCATTGCACAGACAGCTAAAAATCAGACCGCTCCTGAGGATGATACCTTGTTTTACCTTCTATATCATATATTTTTTCAAAAATTCTCTTAAATGTTTCCCCAACATGTTCTATCTTTGAAACCTTTACGTTTTAGAAATATATGTCATATTGGGGAATTTGTATTCAATGTATGAAAAAGGACTCATAAAACATAAAAACAATGCAAATCAGAAATAGATTACTCTGTAAGATCCATGGTAACACATTGACTTATGCTTCAACCAAAAACAACAATCACTCAAATGAAGGCCAGGACAATGCAGGAAATATCCCTGTTCATTCAAAAACACCAACAAGTTTTTGATAACATCAAGACTTGAACAACACAAAGATACATTAATCTCTGTAAATGCCTTATTTCAAATTGAATGAAAGATCTAAGTTCCAAACTGCTGAAGAAACAAGTGGTATTTTTTATAATAAACCAATGAGAAATATGATTGTTTATAAAACAATCTGACTGTTGATAAAATAAAGGTGCATTAGGCCGAAAAAGAAAAGAATTATGTTTCTGGTCCTTTGCTTTGATGATGCAGCATTTTTTGTTTTTGCTTTTTTCCCCCTTCTATTTATTAAGATCTGCTGACATGCATGGCTCAAGGGCAACAATACTCGATTATAGTCCATAATGAGCAAATTTTGAATCCGCAAAGAAAAAAACCCATCCATATTTCAATACTTTCCAAGTTGGAGGGTGGTTGCCCTTTAACATTTGGAGGAGAAACTGTTGTCTCTGCTAATAAAATGCCCTTTTTTTGGCAATTCATTAACGTTCAGTAGTGTGATGTCTAAACTGCACTTGACAAGCCCAAAAGGATGCAAAATCTTCCCCCACACACAACCTGCACGGACTGGAGCGGCATTGTGTATTTAGTGAGTTTGTACTTTCGTTTTGGGGGAAGCAGATTAGAGTTACCTGCCCTTTATTAAAAAATCTGGTAAACAAACAACCAGTCGTAGGGGGTTGAAAAATACCAGAAACATAATCTTTAAGGGGCGGCCTTTGTTATCTGTGCATTCCCCACAACTATTTTTCAGATCTTCACTTAACCTGTATAGGGTGATGGTGATACATGGTGTTTAACTTGGCAGTAAATGAATCAAACTTACAAGAATACAAAATAAATTCAATCATAACAGCAAGCAACATTAAGTAGAGCATAACAGACATACCTACACAGACCTGAACAAAGTTGCATTTAATAAGCAATTAAATAACTTGTAATGAAACAATGACACAGATTGCTTTGATCCTTTGACCAATGATAGAACAGAGACGTGACTCTCATCCAATCAAAATCTTGTAACATACACTACTCCAAAGAGGTTGATACAGGACACAAGATTTGTTCATATTACTATAGTTAATCTGTCACATCAGATAACCATAGTAGAATGAACGAATTGGGTGTTCCCTAACTTCTTTTGAGTAGCATATTCGATCAGTCTCAAGTTCCCTTCTCACAAACATTTGATTGTTCATTTCCCTACGGGCTTGAGTGAGTGAGTTGGGTTTAACACCAATTTAAACAATATTTCATTATATCATGCCTCATGGCTTTTGTACAAACTGTGACAGGACAACCAGCAGTAACCCAGATCTTAGTCGTTTAATACTTTGGTGAAACCTACATGGGTGTGTTGCCAACAAACAAAAGACAGTAATCAAGGTGAATCTATGATGTGAACCAACAATCGGTTGATCCTGGCATGACCAAGGGATGCAACTCTGCTTAGTAAATTGCAACTCCCTGGGTCCTCCCTCTGGTCCTGTATGTTTTGCAAACCAAAAGCTCCTAGCTGGAAACTACAGTAGTGTTATCTGTACGCTTTCTGTCCTGGATATTCTTGACAATCTGTGCATCCTAGTAGAAGCCTCAGACTCATCATCAGATGTTGTTAGGAAAATCTTATCTGTATCAGTTCCTCAGAACTCCTGATCAAGCCAAGCTCCTTACAGCAAAATCTGGTTTGCTCAGCTCTCATTACTATCGCTCCAACCAGTCACAGCTGACCACTGTTCCAGGATGCCACAACCATGCATAGAGTTTAACTCTCAACGGACTGGCTGTTATGTTTACAAACAAATGATGTGATGCCAAATACTCCTATCCCAGTTAAATTAGTTTGTTATTTGTCAATTTGAATTTCCACTTAAGGAAGAAGTTGGATGCTTTTCCGTTCATCTGCGATCTCAAACCAATCTGATTAAATTCATCTGGGCAAGAGTAAATAAGTCATAAACCTTTCCTCAAATGACAAAAACGACAATCCCACAGACATACCACAAATATGAATGTCACTACATTTCATAATTTGGGGTTAGGAGATATTTCACTATTCTTGTAATGGTCGCTTCCACATTGATGGCAGCGATGATCCTTGCAGGGTACTGAAAGTGTCACGCACTGTGAAGGAGTTTGCAAAGGGAGGTAATAAATCTGGGTATTCCTGCTCATCTTGCCACCACATCCCCATATGTAAACAAATGATGTAAAATATTACAAAGTAGCACTGAATCAACAAATACACATAAAAAGATAAAGAATTCATCACACTGACTTGTCCACTTGGTGACCATGTTCTACCTCTTATTTAGCAAGTTACCGATGGACAATATGCCACGATTATATGACGTTCTATACTCCTCAAAAGAAGCTAAAGACCACCTGATTCTCTCATATTGCTACAGTTAATCCGTCATGGCATAACAGATTTACTATAGTAATATGAAAGAATAGGGCGGCCTTTAATTTGTTTTGAGTAGTATATCTTATAACATACATAGGCATTATCCCTTGTGGAAATGAATGTACAATATACATACTGTGTTGCACATGGGATAAAATTCTAATGAATTACTACCATACAAATGATGATAAATATATATATCTACCTGTCCTAAGTGACATGGTGTTACAGTCTGTATGCACTATAACACATAACTTAACAATATGAGGAAACAAAATCATAACAATTGTTATAGATGACTTGTAAGATGGGATATAATCTGTGAAAAATAAGACTTATTTGAAAATGCAATGGCCAGAAATCTGTTTTCTGTGTATTTCCCACTGGACTCGTATATCAAGTCTTTGCTCCAACAAGCACACTGACATTTACAGTGTAACAGTATCCCCAAATTACAACACACAGCTTCTTTCCAAGTGCAAAGCGTTGAAGGTGTTGCATCTGCCAATCATCACTTTGTCCCTTCTGTAAGTGACAAGTTTTCAGTCACTAAAATATTTCCAATAGCACACAGTAAATGGGATAACGAGCATAAGAGTTATCTCCCTTCCAATGTCTATACTGGACATCAAGCGATGTCAAAGAGTTATCTGCTCTTGAAATATTTTGTCAAGAGTTGTCTCCCCTGAAGATGACCAAGTTTAGAGTGATCTCCCTTGTGATGACTCTTCATCACATTAGTTGCTTCAAGGCCTTTTAAGGCTGTCAGAGCCCTTCGTCATGAACCTTTGGTAGACACATGGCTTATTGGCCATGATATGAATGCCACAGTAGAATAATTGTCACCATCACTGAATCATGTGAAGGGCTAAATCTCATCAGGCAGGATTGTGATACAGAGTTTTTTCTCAGGCCAACTGAACGTCTTTGGGCACATCATCTGGAATATGAGATAATGTGTCTTTAAAATAATGTTATGAATATATTGCATATTCCTCAACATGAAAAACCCTTTTGATACCAAAAAATATTATTTAATGGTGCAGACATTCACTGTGGCCTTAAAATATGTCTACACCAGTCAAACTAGTGGTTGAAAACATGACCACATCAGCATGCTCAGACTATCACCACATTAAGTGCCTCCCATGATTGTCTGATCTTGGCATGACCAAGGGATGCAACTCTGATTAATAAATTTCAATGCCTTGGGTCCTCCCTCTGGTCTTGAGTGTTTTGCAAACCAAAACCTCCTAGCTGGAAACTACAGTAGTGTTATATGTACACATTCTGTCTTAGATATTCTGTACAATCTGCACGTCCCAGTAGAAGTCTCAGACTTAACAACAGATGTTGTTAGGAAAATAGCATCCGTATGGAGTGACATGGGAGTGGGGACCAATACAGCATGGAAGCCTATATGGAACCTGTCCGAGGAGTCTTGTGCAAGCAAACTTGGGAGATGAGGTGAAATGGGGTTAAATGTCGCATTCAAGATTATTGTACTTATATAGCGACGTGCATGCACGTGTGTGTGTGTGGCTGCATAGACTAGTCCGGACTAAGGCTGATTTTATAGTGCTAGCCCACTGAGATACCATGCCGCATTTAAACATAAATACCTTACTCAGACACAGTATACTGACTCTTAGCCAATCAGTGCTTGTTTTAGTCGAGTGCCAAGCAGGGTAACAACAAGTACCATCTATTAACGTCTTTTGGTAAGACATGGCCGGGGATCAAACCCGGGATATGCGTAACTTGACATATTCTCTCACCTCATCAGGGCAGGCTAATTCTTCTATGTCATGGCACATGTCGCTAATGAAGTCGTCAGAAATCAAAACCTGAAAAGAATCAAATAAAGTATTCAAACATGTATACAACTTATCTCTAGCATTTAAAAAAAAATAATAATGCAGCAGTTAATAAAATAATCAACAATTCTTCTGATATTACTGAGTGCTGCCTTAAAAAATAAACAAACAACAAACTGTTCAAAGCACGAGTACGAATGACTCATTCTTCCTGAAAATCCTACGACATGAGGATTACAATGATTGCAATGTTGACACAAGCGCCCCCTACCTGTAGCCATGTGCCGTGTGCAGCGTAGGGATGTTCCTCATCAGCGATGGAGCCAACAACACTGGGGGAGACTAGGGTGATGGCAACGTCGTTGAGGACGCTCTTGAAGGTGAAGTGGCGGCCGTGTTTTAACCTGCCCCTAGAATCAGCGAGACGTTAAGACAATCAGAACATGAAAAGATACTGTTTGTGTCAATTAGTTACTGGTGTTCCTAATAACCATCCCCCTTGAAGCAACCCATGCTTGTCGAAGAGGCGACTACTGGGACCGGGTGGTCAGGCTTTGTGAGCATCGATGCTCATGATGTCAATCACTGGATTGTCTGGTCCAGGCTCAATTACTTACAGACTGCTATCGGATAGCTGGAATATCGCCGAGTGTGGCATCAAACAAACAAAGAGAACTAATAACCTTCAGATCAAGTACTGAGGTATATATAACTGTGAATCAATCAATCACATCTACAGAATAAAAGGATGGTATCCAATTCATGGACAATCAAGGTCTTAACAGCAATGATTTTGACATCTAGCCCACTGGATCTATGTTGTATCTACCAGACAACTATTGTAGAAGGAGCCATGGTGCTATTTACCAGACAACTATTGAAGAAGGAGCCATGGTGCTATTTACCACACAACTATTGAAGAAGGAGCCATGATGATATTTACCACACAACTATTGAAGAAGGAGCCATGGTGCTATTTACCAGGCAACTAGTGTAAGAGGGAGTCATGGTGCTATTTACCAGGCAACTAGTGTAAGAGGGAGTCATGGTGTTATTTACCCGACAACTATTGTAGAAATAGCCATGGTGCCATTTACCAGGCAACTAGTGTAATAGGGAGTAATGGTGATATTAACCAGGCACCTATTGTAGAAATAGCCATGGTGCTATTTACCAGGCAACTAGTTTAAGAGGGAGTCATGGTGCTATTTACCAGGCAACTATTGTAGAAATAGCCATGGTGCTATTTACCAGGCAACTAGTGTAAGAAGGTGTCATAATTCTATTTACCTGAGAGCAAGTGGTAGGAGGGAGCCAGCTTCCAGGTTAAACTTGAGATGGACAGCATCAAGAGTCCGTGTCCGGATCAGTTCTGTTGGACCTTCAGAACTCACTGTGCTATCAAAGGACTCTTTCCGGGATGAGTTCTGATTCCTGCTGAGAAACAAAAACATTTCAGAAAATTGAAACAATATTATTTCCTTTCATCTCCCAGAACATAATTTATTCAAACTGATATTCAACCACAACATTCAAGAAGTGAGTCTACTTGTCGTAAGAGGTGTCTAACAGGATCAGGTGGTCAGGCTCGCTGACTTGGTTGATGAGTGTCATCGTATCCCAATTGCACAGATTGATGCTCAGGATTGTTTGGTCCAAACTCATTTATTACAGACCGCCGTCAGATATCGGGAATATTGCTGAGTGCGGTAAACAAAACAACAAACAAAATCATTACATATCGCTTGAGTGTATTTGAATTTGTCAAAAGATCTTTACTTGACATTGAGCACTGTTTTTCAATGAATCATTCAACAGCCAATACTCACTGATCATACTCATCATCTTTGCCGCCATGTGATGGGACGTTGGACCGTGAGTTACTCAGGCCCTTCTTCAAAGTCGCTTTTATTTGTTCAGATTCTGAAAAAAAGTAACATTTTTCATCTCATTTGAATCAGACTGTCACATGACCAAATGTAAATGAGGAGCCAAGGTGTTAGCAGTACACCATGAACAGGCTTTATACATTGGATCAATTTGGTAAATAGAACCCGGGCCTTCAGTCTGGTGAGCAAACACTTTAACCACTTGGCTACCCTACTGCTCTGATACCAGGGAAAAGGAAGGGAGGAGATTTGGTACTCTTGAGACTTATTCCGTTTAATCCTTAAAGGAATACTGAGAGCATCACATATTATTTAAGAACAAAAATATGGGTGAAAGGGCAGAGAACTTTATTGTAAAGGACTTAATTTGGTTATCACAAAGCATGCAGCTGTGGATGTTTCAACTGATGTTTCAAAGGGGAAGACAACAAACTGACAACGAAGCCAGCCATGGAAGCAATGTCACACACCTTTATACATACACCAGGGCTACATAAACCAATATTAGAAAGGATAACATATGATAAGGGCTATATTTGGTTCAATAGAATTGTCCAGTTTACAATCACTTTTTTAACATGTTCGAGTGACTGAAAACAAACCTTATTTCTTTATTGATGTTTTACATGGTCGAATATAAAAGTTAGTGATCATCAATATTTTAGGGAATATTTATGTGTAACCCCAAAAATTTCACGATCCCCAACTTCCTTTTCAGTATATAAGCATAGCTAGAAAGTGTTAAAGGCCAGTATTTCAAACTTCAATGACCTTTTACCATACCTTTGTACAGATTTGAATCACCATGGGTTTTGCTCATTTTTAAAATATTATATATACTGTATTTGACGTAATAAGCGCCCAGGGTGCTCTCAAAATTAGAAATAGGGGGCTCTTATTTCAATAAAATTTTGTTGAAAAAAAAACAGAGTTGAAAGATCGTAAATTTCGTGGTTCATGCTGACAGGCTGAAATGATACAAAATGTAAGCATGGTAAGTCTGTGCATATTATACACGACAGATATATTTTTCCAGAATTTAATGGCCCATAAAATTAAGGGTGCATATAACACAGGAGTGCGAATTATACACGAATAAATAAGTCTTGTGTACATTGATCAATCGGAAGGGGTGCTAATTGGTATTGTTCACTAGCTATACTGTAAATTACATCCTGTGAATTGTCACAGCTGGGTCAAAACAAGAGTTCTACTCACTTCCATCATCACTGATCACACCTGCAAGTCCAGACAGACGCCACCCATGCAACACAGTGTCTTTGTTCTTAACGACTGCATCAAAGGTTGACACGAGCCAGCCCGTATGTATTGTTTTAGCAGAAGTACTCTACTCAGCGCTAATAAGCAGTTCTACTTGGTGTATGATTGGATTAATGTAAGGTTGGATTAAGGTGCGGATTCTCCTGTAAACCTGACAGAGGACATTTTCTAAAGACATAAATCCACTGATGCTCGAGAGGAGATGGGCGTCGCATTCATATTGAGTCGCATATTTGACTAGGGGACAGCGGTCGCATTCTTTTGGAGACACATTAATTTCACGATTTACAGTATAATAGCAAATATCGTTAGAGCAGGGCGCTTATTACGTCAAATACGGTAAATGTTCCTTTTCCTTAAGATTATAATAAGTCCAAAACATGCAGAGTCTAATGTATTCGCCATATCAAGCATTCCGCTCTTATCAGTAATCAAGTAAGCCCAAAAGGACCCTAATACCTAGGCACTGTTTCTGTTTTCCTCATCATTGACAACCCTTATGTTAACTACAGCAACTACTGACCGTAGTCGGTGATGATCCTCCTGTCCACGTCCCCACTGCCACGGCGATCGATCTCCACCAATCGGTTCTCCTTATCGTCATCGTTATAGTTACTGTGAGCATCGGGGTCGCCTGGCTCCTCCCACGAGCACCGACTGCTGACACCACTCAAGTTAGACCCCTCGGTCTCGATCCCATGATCCACTGTTTCCTGGAGCAGACGTACGTACACTATGTACATGGCAGCCATGATGACATTCTGACCTTCATATCATCTCATTTTCTAATAAATTGACATCTTATGTGATAATGAATGTGTTTCCATGACATAGGTAGTACATTTTCAGTAAGCATTCAACAATTTACCACAAAACACACTGTACCTGCAGCGATGGTTCGATCTCAAAAATGGTCTCGCCTCGCCTCATGTCAGTCACTAGCCAAGCACCACCAGCACTGTTCAAAATAAATGAATACATCCAAATCAAATCACTCAAACCTCTCAAAACAAGTACAGAAACACTATCAACACCTGACTTCTTCTACATATAATCCAGCAGTATCTAGATGGGGTACACCAGGAATGTAGGCATTTAGGGATTCAAACCCAGACCTTTATTGTGACGAACAAATGCTTTAACATCTAGGCTATCCAACTTCCCTCTTTGGAATAAAAGGGCAAATGCTTGAACCACAAGACTACTTTTCCACCACCTCGGGCATAAGGTGGTAAGGTGAAATTGGGTTTAACGTTGCGTCCAAGATTATTGCACTTATATAGCGATGTGCATGCACGTGTGTGTGTGTGTGTGTGTGTGGCTGCTTGTACTAGTCCAGACTGATGCCGATTGATAGTGCCATCCCACTGAGATACCATGCTACAGTTTAACATGAATATCCCACTCAGACACAGTATAGTCGACCAGTCCTTGCTTTAGCCCCTTAATGCCGAGCGCAAGACAGGGTAACAACAAGTACCATGTTTTAACGTCTTTTGGTATGACGCACCTGGGGCATGAAGCATCAGCAGGTAAATGAATTCATTCTGGTGACATCACATGTACTATAGTCAGCAGGGCTGACGAGATCGTGGAGATACAGATATGTAACCCAGGGACCACTTGCACAAAGCCCACAGGGCCCACTCCCATACTTCAACATAGGCTTACGATAATCCTAGTGCTAAGATGGCTTTGTGCAAGTGGGCCCAGGTGGTTTTTTTGGCATACAGAAATGCTCTCAAACCCAAATCAGAATACAGAAGCTTAATGTTGCATTCAAGATTATCATGATTATTATACTAACCTAGCGGCGTGCATGCATGTGTGTGTGTGTGTCTCTGCTTGTACTAGGCTGGACTATTGCCACCTTTCGTGGTTTAAGCCCATTGAAATACCTTGCAGCAGTTTTAACAAATATACCCCACTCCAGGGGTCCGGAAAATTTAAAATCCCAATCGGACATTTGCATTTAGGCCACGCCCCCTTCAAATAGCGTATTTTAGTACGACTTTTCACACACATTACAAGTTTACGTATTCATAATATGATGAATTAAGAATTGTTTCAATTTAAATTGTTTAATTCACCGGACAATTAATAACAAATAATATCATTTTAGATTTACATGGAAAACATACGTTTGTTTCTGTTATAATCATGATAATAACGATCTATTAACGTAGTGAACGGTCTAATTAATATTCATGAGTTATATTCATGAGTCTGCTCAAGTGTACGCGTTGTAACATTTGGATCGAGACTATTATCCCATATTTGGTTATCACGTGACCTCACGGGAAAAGTGTTTTTTTAAACTAAAGATTTTTTTAAAAACAAGACAGATAATTTAATCACAAATACTAAAATATCGTTGATAGCAATAGTTATTTGAATACTTTTTTCATCTGTACTTAATTATTGACCATAAAAAAATTGGATATCGATCGTCCGAGAAAGCAAAATGGCGGTCAATCAAGATTCAATATACGACTAGCTACTGAAAAAAATAAAATCTGCAAATCCTCATTGTATGTCAACCAAGTGAAAGCCGTTAGCCACGACTTACAAAATGATCGTCCAGACTTTGAGGGTTTGGCAGATCCGGTCGACTGGCTGTCGTCACGCTTTCGCTTCTTGTCTGAGGTTACGTATCGTAGCAGTATGAGGATAATGAGGTACATCGATGATGCAAGGTATTAATGTACAGTTGTAAACACCTTTTACTCAAATTAACAAGATTTTCTCAGTAATTAATCCTCAATTAATCAGTGTCAACTCAGTTTATTGCCTATTACAGTGATTGACCGATTGGACTATCATGTAGGTATGATGTATTTACAGCAATCAAAACAAACAAAGCTTGTCAGTGTAGTTAATCTTCATTGTGTTGCAACTGCAGACAGAAACTGCTCAGTCCTAACTGTTGATCATGTCCGGTCAAAATTTAAGAATGTCCGGACAATACTTTTTAAAATGTCCGGTAAGCAATATTTTAAAACGGACATTTGAGATTCCCAATCGGACATGTCCGGCGCATATGACGATTTCCAGACCCCTGCCCCACTCAGACACTTTATACTGACTCCGAGCCAATATGTCCTTGTTTTAGCCCCTTAATGCTGAGCACCAGGGAAACAACAAGTACCATCTTTTAACGTCTTTTGGTATGATACAGCCGGGGATCGAACCACCGACCTTCCACTTCTATCCACGAGACCATGGAGGTGGTGCATACGCCAGAAATACTTACACAGCTTTAGATCGCAGTAGCTCGATAACTCCTGGTCCGTTCCAGTGTTGTGCCGCCTTCAACTCCTCTCCACACACACCAACAATCTACAACAGGAGGTATCCGCATACAGGCCTGGGATATTATCAGAAAACTTACATTCGGACTAAAGCTGTAAAAAAATAGTCTTGATTCTCAGACACCGCCCCATCATCACAAAGTCCGCCGCACATTTCGTTTATATTTCCATTTAAAAAAAAAAAAATCCTTAAACATTATATACACGATTTCGCCGAAACTAATGTAAACAAAATTGAATTAAATCTTGGAGAAAAATAATGTAATGGATTACAAACGTCCAGATACACTATGAACACTTTAATACCCAGACAGTGTAATAACAGGACTAACTTGTCGAGATGCTTCTTCCAGTGTTGTGTGCTCACGATAACATTTTCGCATAATAAAAAATAATCAAAGCTCATTGTATGCGTGTATTATGCACACACTGGCAGTCCAACGGTAGTCAAATACTGTATAAAGGTATTTTACTCATCAAGGAATACATTTATGTAGGGAGGCCCATTCCCAGGTTGATTGTACACGACTGTTTATTTAGTAACATACAAGTTCGAACAACCAAAAAAATAAAGGAAAAAGGCCACCGGCCCTTACCTGAGAACCAATTCTTTTAAGTCTAAATCTAACCACCTTTGGCCAGAACATTACTATATTATTCAATGTTAGCAGCTACTGTTGACTGTGTCATGAACATAACACATCAAACATGTTAAGTGACTGAGTGAGTTGGGTTCAACGCCGCTTTTAACAGTATTCCAGTTATATCGAGGCATGTCAGCTTAATGTGGGAGGAAAGTCAGAAGTGATGCAGGTCTCAGACGTTAAACACTTTGATGAAAGCCACAAGCAAACCCAGAAACATAATCAGGGCGAACCGGGATTCGAACCCACAATCATAGGTTTCTGGTGTGCCCAAGGGACGCAACTCTTATCAGTCTAGTTAAGCTATGATCTTTTCATCACAAAATTGTATAGATATTATTGTGACATATTCATTTAACAGCAGGTTTGATCACAAAATCTTAATCCTAAGTCATTTCAAGTCTATGTGCAACCTACGGTAGACACAACTTTATGGATAACAACTTCTTTATTTTATACTGTATGAAGCAACGTTTCTATAAAGACCGAAACGTTGCTTTTTACAGTATTAAAGAAGTTGGTATCCATAAAATTGTGTCTACCATATCATCTGTCAACTTCTAAGTAATGCCTATCAAACAATTTATGTGCACCCAGTAAAAAGTTTACCAACAGGTACAAGTATGTTGCTGACACACCAAGAAACACATTTGGGGCATCGAGGCCACGATCATACACATGTACCACTTTGAGTCATAATCTTGGCAAATATTTAAATCCTTACTTGCTAAGGGACACAACTCTGCACAGCCAACTACTGCACTGATTACTAGCTTCCATGACCCTGAACTTTAATAAACAAGAGTCATCAGAAGAGGACAAATCCCCCTGGCCTCCACAAATTTGAAAGAACAAATCATGTGACTGATACTTTAAGTCCAACTAATTGAGAGAATTTCTATCTAATATGGGGGGCACGTGTGGCCCAGTCGTCTAAGGCGCCGCGATTTGCTGTGCAGAGTTGCGTCCCTTGGACACGCCAAAAACCTCTGGTTGTGGGTTCGAATCCCGGTTCGCCCCAATTATGTTTCTAGGTTTGTCAGCACCATACCCATGCTCGTGGGTTTCACCGAAGTGGTAAACGTCTGAGACCTGCATCACTTCGGGCTTTCCTCCCACATTAAACTGACACGCCGTGATATGACTGGAATACTGTTAAAAGCGGCGTTAAACCCAACTCACTCACTCACTCACTCTATCTAATATGTCTGTCTGTATACAAGAGTAGTTATTGAGCTATCAAAACAATACCATGGAATTGGGATTTTGGAACTTTGTATTTCTAGGTCAAGTACACACTGCCATGAACAAAGTGATGAACCTGGAAACCAGGTCAAAGTCAAACTTGTTGCCATGGAAACACAAAATATATAGATTCTAAACACCCCTAAGTAGCAAAAGGCACCATTTGACAACCTGGTCATTGTGTATGCAAAGTGTTATGAAAGAGTACTTATTAGTTTTAGAGATATGGTCCGCACAAACACACCACTATGAACAGTGTCTAAGTCAAACTTGTTGCCATGCCATTGAAACAGGAAACAAGTAATTTAGTAAAATTCCCAAATAGCAAAAGGCACCACTTCAGCCCTTGGTTAATACATGTACTAGGTTTGGTTGAAAAGTTTTTCCCAGTTTTCAAGTTGTGCTCTGGAAACGACAGCTACCCCCGGCTCCCTACTCGAGATATGCTTCAGGAAATGAAATGATTACTGACAGACGGACAGACAGACAGACGGACAGATAATATTCTCCCCCATTATATAATAAGCTGGGGGTATAATAATTATATCTGTAGTAAATTGATTGGTCAATTGTCTTTGTTCCAAAACTCTCGAACTGCCTTAGCTGTTATATCAAATTTCATGTGAAACTAAAACTTCCAAATATTCATGAATAATTGTATATCAATTGCATGTTCACTGGGTTAGAATTTAACACTAGTCTGCTGGCATGGGGCTGGTACTAATTCCTGCAGGCTAGTACAAATTCCTGCAGGCTAGTACAAATTCCTGCAGGGTAGTACTAATTCCTGCAGGCTAGTACAAATTCCTGCAGGGAAGTACAAATTCCTGCAGGGTAGTACTAATTCCTGCAGGCTAGTACGAATTCCTGAATGCTAGTACAAATTCCTGCAGGCTAGTACTAATTCCTGTAGTACAAATTCCTGTAGTACAAATTCCTGCAGGCTAGCACTAATTCCTGCAGGCTAGTACTAATTCCTGCAGGGTAGTACTAATTCCTGCAGGGTTCTACAAATTCCTGCAGGCTAGTACAAATTCCTGCAGGCTAGTACTAATTCCTGCAGGCTGGTACAAATTCCTGCAGGCTAGTACAAATTCCTGCAGGCTAGTACAAATTCCTGAAAGCTAGTACAAATTCCTGCAGGCTAGTACTAATTCCTGCAGGCTAGTACTAATTCCTGCAGGCTAGTACAAATTCCTGCAGGCTAGTACTAATTCCTGCAGGGTAGTACAAATTCCTGCAGGCTAGTATAAATTCCTGCAAGCTAGTACTAATTCCTGCAGGCTAGTACAAATTCCTGCAGGCTAATACTAATTCCTGCAGGCTAGTACTAATTCCTGCAGGGTAGTACTAATTCCTGAAGGCTAATACTAATTCCTGCAGGCTAGTACTAATTCCTGCAGGGTAGTACTAATTCCTGCAGGCTAGTACAAATTCCTGCAGGGTAGTACAAATTCCTGCAGGCTGGTACTTATTCCTGCAGGCTAGTACTAATTCCTGCAGGCTAGTACAAATTCCTGAAAGCTAGTACAAATTCCTGCAGGCTAGTACTAATTCCTGCAGACTAGTACTAATTCCTGCAGGGTAGTACAAATTCCTGCAGGCTAGTATAAATTCCTGCAGGCTAGTACAAATTCCTGCAGGCTAGTATAAATTCCTGCAGGCTAGTACAAATTCCTGCAGGCTAGTATAAATTCCTGCAGGCTAGTACTAATTCCTGCAGGCTAGAACAAATTCCTGCAGGCTAGTATAAATTCCTGCAGGCTAGTACACATTCCTGCAGGCTAGTATAAATTCCTGCAGGCTAGTACACATTCCTCAATTTCCTCATTGTTTTAACATCACAAGGGCATTTTATTTTTATCAAGGCTTGTAACGCTTTTGAGTTTAGTTCTAACCTTGCAGCTGTCCTGATATTTCTGCAGTGATCATGTGTACATCAGAAGAGATGAAATAGTGAATGCTCATTTACGTGACTAATTGGCATCTTTCACACCTTCTGAACTGAACTGTCAAGATCTCCATGGCAACAGGAAGTACTGAAGTGCCAGGTGACACTAAAACTTCCTCAGTAACTTGATTGGTTGTCACAGGAGTTCATATCTGTGAATATCTTTTCTTGCCACACATACATCCCAAAGGGCACATTAACACATTCTTGCCACTTCCTTGTCACACTCTTGATAAGTAAGAAATTTCTATCCCCGAACTCTCTGTGACGTGACTTGTAAACCGGCGTGGCAATTCAACAGAATTTTTAATACTGCCATGTATTCTTTGCCTTTTACCAACTATTACGTGGACAGAAATCTTAATAAAACTACTAGCCCTACTGTTACTGACTGGTTATATTCAAAGTGAGGCAAATGCAGGGTTTTACATGGACTCCAAAACTAGGGGTCCAGGGGACCCCCAATAATTAATTTCATGGGTCCCTACAAGAAATATGAGGGTCCTGTAATATAATGGAATGGTGAAGTGTACTGAACTGTACTATAAGATTTGATAATTACATTAATTGCAGGCAGGACCTTTATGTCTCGTCAAGATTTTGGTACAATACATGGGCTCGTGATATAGAACCTAACGAGGGACTCATAAAAACCCATGTACCCTGAGTGATCCTGCTACAACGAATTTATCTCACTGACATGTCTTAATATGACATTGTAAAAGAACAAAAACAAATTCAAAATTGACAGAAAACAGTAGAGGTTAGCTTGTGCTATGTCACTTGACTTCCATTGACTTGGAAAAAGTGTGCGGCTTTTAGAGTGGAAGCGGGGAATAAGGGATTTATTCTGCCTCTCAGAAATCCACGAACAGCCCGACTTGCTCGTGGCGGGGTATAAGATTTTTTCTCCCGTTGAGAAATTTATAACCCTCCAAGGCGTTTACACAGTATTTTATCAAGATCATGTGAACCAATCAGATGTCATCATTGTGACATGGAGGTATGGTAATGAATATTACTGTGTGTCCCTCGGGACACCATACATTATTTTCTTCTGCATCCATTCTAGAAAGGTAAGAGTTACAGTGTGATATGGCCTGATGTGGGCACAGAGAAATATCTTAGTGTAGCGTATCACTGCATTTGGTAAAGTGCTTTCTGAGATGTAAAATATTCTAATTTCATTTATACCACGGAGAGTCAGCTTGATGTGAGAGGAAAGCACAAAAACTGCTGGTCTTTGATGTTTACCACTTTGGAAAAATCGAGGTATTATTGTCCAGCTCATCTTTATACAGTCTTAGGAAGCATGGTGGCCATGTTGTCTAGGGCGCTGCAAATTGATACCCAGAGTTGTCTCCCTTGGACATGCCAGAAACCTATGATCATGTGTTTGAATCCCAATTCACACTGATCATGTTCCTATGTTTGACACCATAGCTCTGCATGTGAGCTTCACCAAAGCTTTTCTCCCACACTAAGCTGACACACTGTGATATACCACGAATCCTGTTCAATGCCGCTTAATACCAAATTCACTCACTTATACAGTTTCAGCTATCTGGGTTTTATGGTTTCTGAAAAACCACTATCCTTTATATTTTCAAAGATCGAAAAATATTTCACCACCCCGTATTCACCCAATAGATTACTCTTTGACTAATATCATGATATTACCTGGACAAAGTTGACCACCCCAAAGGGAGTTGTGATTGGTTGCAGCTGAGCATCCTCCGTCATTAGCATGTGCTGAATCCTGGACTCGCTGCCGTCAAGAGGCGTGTGCCACGACACGTGGTCACCACTACATAATACATTTTCTGAAAGATAAAACATAAATAGTAGTCAAGAAAGTAGTATGGGCTCAAAGCCAATTTACATTACATTATGAAGTCACTTTTTTGTCTATAATTTTATCAATAAGTACATGATATATATATTCAATATTCAACCATTATCATTCAGGGAATGAAATTAAGTTGTTTTGATAGTCTAACATCAATCCCTAATCATCATCATCATAATCATCATCATTTTTACACAATGTCTATATCCTACAACCACAACAAAATATGCAGCGGTCAGGGTTTCCATAAGACTAGTTCACATTACTTAGTTTCTTCGATTGTAAACACTCATAGCATGATAAAAATTGGTCACGTAAATGAGATCATCATCATCATCATCATCATCATCATCATCATACCTGACTGAAAGACGTATCTAGCGAGGGATTGCATCAGGGCAGCAGGCCAGGTAGGGGGGTTGGTTTCTTCTGGTTCTCGTCTCAGTCGGAACGTCAGCTCAAAGCCATACCCACTCGGACCCTCGTTGTTAGTTGTCCTGAAAGCAGTTCAGTTTTAACAATATCACAAACACAAAACTTTCAACACCTATATTACACTTCTCAAAAGAACTGAAATTAAAAAGATACATATTTTACCTTTGTATATTGAAACAAATTTTTCACTCCTGAATGAGTTAAATGGCAGTGCTCGATTCAAACATGCACCAGGGCAACTTTTTATTGAAATATGCAACCTCATAATTATGTCTACATGCACCAAGTGCATGTCCAAAAAATTCAACTTTGTGTCTGACTAGCCCTTACTTGTCCACACAACATCAATCTTTGGACAAACTCAATATCTTTAAGTTTTATTTACCATACTACATCACTAATACCTGTGTTGTGTTGGTTTCATGACATCAGAGATCTGTCATTTTGCTTACCTAGATTAGATTATGCATCTGTGTTTTAACATTGATAAATTTATGGGACCAGGGTGCAACCTGCTTCAGTCTGGTGTAAGAGCTTTTCACATCAAAGTGCACCTGGTGCAGGTTAAATCAAGTTCCTTAAATCCAGACCTGACAGACTCACAGAAGAAGAAAAAAAAAATATAAAAATTCTTCAATTACAAAATTCTTAAATTCTGAGTTGGCAAATCCGTAAACCAAGTGATCAAACAAAGTAATCAAACAGAAGCAATTACTTGCTTTAAATATAAACCTGTCACCTTTCAACCATTTTCTAAACATTTTCATTTGTTTGTTTTTTGTTTGTTGTTCAATGCAGCACACAGCAATAGTCCAGCTATATGACGGCAGCATATAAATAATCAAATCTGGACCAGACAATCCAGTGAATCCAAAGCTCTTTTATGCATCTCTCTGTTCTCAAATGTATGACAGATATGACAATAGTCAAAATGCAGTAATAAATTTAGTCATTTATTTTATTATTCTTAAAAAGTGATTATTTCCTTCCTTTCTGTTATCAGGCATTTTGGGTACAAAATCAGTAAAAAAAATAATCAGTTTGATCTGGCCCCATTTGCATAACAGTCTCATATTTCAGACCACGGATCCGACACAAGCATGATATATAGCTTCTGTCAATGATTTCCTCTTTATCTTCACGATAAAACCTATATGTCTTAAAGGCTCAACATCTATTCAGTCGTCCTGTCTCAGGTAGAAGCTATTAATTTATTTTCCCACTAATGACATCAACAAGAAGTTGTTTCATTACAACAGGTCACCCAAACTGACAAGCTCGGATATCGGTATTAGCACACCTGAAACAAAGACCCGATCTCAGTGTTCTATACACGGGGACACAGTTATTGTTTCTATCTGTCCGGCAGTACTGTGACATAGAGCGAAGTGGTGCCCTATATACCATTACCCTTGTGATGAATGGGAAATAATCTGCAGAGTCATATCCACAGATAATAGTGACAGAGCGTTAGTGGTGACAGTATAGTTACCCTTGTCAGTCTCACAGACCCTACAGAACTAAAGAAAAAAATAGATTCAACTCATGTCTAAAATGATTTGGCAAGTCTAGATTTCCTCAGCTCTAGGCCTGAAAAAAGCTTTGTCCTGGCTCCATTTGGATCTTATTTTGTATTTTGTGGATATATATTTTCAAATAAGATAACTTTATGTAAGTCAATGTTTCCCTAATGACCCCTGATATAATATGTTTATCATACCTCCATGTCAGAATGTGAGTGGGTGAGTGAGTTGGGTTTATCGCCGCTTTTAACAGTATTCCAGTTATATCGAAGCGTGTCAGCTTAATGTGGGAGGAAAGCCTGAAGTGATGCAGGTCTCAGATGTTGAAACCCGATGAAGCACGGTATGGTGCTAACAAACCAAGAAACATAATCGGGGCGAACTGGGATTCGAACCCACAATCATAGGTTTCTGGCGTGTCCAAGGGATGCATAAAACCACATGTACTCCGAGTTATACTTCTAAAACTTAAATGTTTTCGTGTTTTAGCCCATCCCAAAATAATGAAGGTAGGTAGGGCAGGCTTGTGTTACTTTTTCTGCTTTAAAAAATAGTAACTTGTGGTATGTCATTTATTAATAGAAAAGTTGGGTTGTTTTTTTATTTCTGCTGCTACAAAATCATCTTTCAAATGCTGTTTGCAGAAAACGAGTTTTCATAGCATTTATGTCCTAGCCAGTTCAAAACATGACACCGAGACAAGCCTATTCAGAATGACATAACTCCAAAAATGATAATAGTATGAGTGACATGTTTCCTTAGTAGACATTTTCGTAAATATTATGCAAAACCGTGTAAATACTGTAGAAAAATAAACAAAATATTATTAAAAAGATATATAATAAATTAAATATTTATTCAAAACTGACTGGGAAGATAGGAAGGATTTTAATAGGGCTTAAAACTAGCAAAAATAAGACACATCATGAGAAACAAAAAATGAATTTGACCAAACCTAATGCCTTAACTGAACAAAGTACACATGTAACACTTGTCAACAAATTTTCTATTTCCTTGTGATAGGAAGGATTTTAATCATTATTTCTTTTAACTTAACCTATAGTAGGTTACAAACCTATGATAGTAAACTTAATACTAATGTGCAATTTGATAATATTTGTCAACTGACATTGTGGATAGATACACTTGTGAACTTGACAAAAAAAACATTTGCTGTTTGCTCAGGTCAGAAAACGTGCCGAAATGAAATTTGAGTTAAAAAAGACTTTTCTTAATAGAGCTTAAAACTAGCAAAAATAAGACACATCATGAGAAACAAAAAATGAATTTGACCAAACCTAATGCCTTAACTGAACAAAGTACACAAGTAACACTTGTCAACAAATTTTCTATTTCCTTGTGATAACATTGACATGTCCCACATGTTAATTTGTTGCAATAGCACTTTGTCAGACTAACATATCATCTATGAAATCTTTTATTACACAATACATGAAAGGACACAACTAGAACGCATTTTGATAACTTTCGATAAAACACAAATTACAATACTTAAATACATAATTATCTCACAAATAACAGCATCCAAACAAGGTTCCAGTAAAGAAGAAAAAACAGGAACTCTTTATAACCTTTAACCTTTAACATTTATTAATTGGAAATAAACTCAAACTTAAAGACAAATTCTGAATCCTTAAACCTGCAGGAATATTCTGTAATTAACACAACAAACATGTCCACCTGCTCCTAAATCTTGACAAAAAAGAACCAAAATATCAATGGATCATGACCCAAGGATAGTCTTATCATACTTAACTTGCTCACTGTAATGATAGTTTGCGACCTAAGCGACTGAGCCAAATCCCATGTCTAGTAACTACTGTTTGGTCTAATAAGTTCACCTAAAATTAGTCCATGTACTAAGAGTGAGTGAGTTGGGTTTAACGCTACTTTTAACAGTATTCCAGTCATATCACGGCGTGTCAGCTTAATGTGGGAGGAAAGCATGAAGTGATGCAGGTCTCAGACGTTTACCACTTCGGTGAAACCCACGAGCACTGGTATGGTGCTGACAAACCTAGAAACATAATCGGGGCGAACAGGGATTCGAACACATAATCATAGGTTTCTGGCGTGCCCAAGGGACGCAACTCTGCACAGCGAAACGCGGCGCCTTAGACGACTCGGCCACCCGTGCCCCCTACCCATGTGCTGGACTCCAAAGTTTTGAACACATACAGCAATGATACGATTATTTCAACAATCCAAATGACAAAATATTATAATTGGATGGCATTGTTACCATGGTTACAATTATAATACAGTATAACTAGGGTGAGATAATATCACAAATTTCCAAGCAAACAATTTACATTTTAATGCCACTTGTCCATCAAACTGTAAAACAATCATTAACAATCTATACTAGCCACATAAAGAAACTGTGCACGGAGAAAATATATTCTGGATTGAAATACAACACAGCAAGAACAAAATGATGCAGACGCTGTAGCAGCTGAATGATCGGACCATAAGAAAATGTCAACGGGACCTGAACAACATCTGTAACGATGACGTCAGAAGATCAAAATGGAGTAGGGGGTCAAACGACAAAGTCACAAAGTCAATAACGGGTATGACCACCCTGTGCGTGAATAACAGCAGTGCATCGGCGACGCATGGAGTCCATCAAATGGGCATGGAAGGCCTGGGGAATGGCCTGCCATATCCTCCTCAAATCCTGTGCCAGGTCACGGACGTTATCTGGAGGATGTGGAAGACGACGCAGACGGCGCTCCATTTCATCCCACACATGCTCTATTGGGGAGAGATCTGGAGAAATTGCAGGCCATGGCAGTAACATGACATTGTTATAGTGAAGGAAATCCATTGCGACCCTAGCCGTGTGAAGACGAGCGTTGTCCTGTTGAAATGTCAATCCCGGGCCATGACGTTGCAGGAAAGGAATGACCACAGGCCTCAGAATCTGATCTCTGTAGCCAACACCGGTGAGATTGCCCTGAACAACCATCAAAGGGGTTCGGTGCCGTGCTGTTATCCCACCCCAAATCATCACAGAGCCACCTCCAAAATGATTCCTCTCCACAATACAGTTGTGTGCATAACGTTCTCCCAAACGCCGGTAGACACGTTGGCACCCGTCACTGTGGGAAATGTTGAACCTCGATTCATCTGTAAAGACAACATTTCTCCACCATATTCGAGGTTGGCGAACATGATTTCGACACCATCTTAGACGGTTGACTCGATGACGGTGTGTCAGGATGGGACGTATGGCAGGGCGTCGTGGTCAAATCCCGTAAACGATTCCTGGCAGTGTTGGGATGGATACGGCGCAGTCCAGGAATTGTCTGGGACGTCGTTCCTGCCGTTTGGAACCTGTGTCGGAGATGTGTAACTCGAATCCATCTGTCCTGTCTTGGCGTCGTTACTCGGGGACATCCTGAACGTGGGTGGTCAGCAACGTCATTTGTGTTCTGATAACGCCTCACCAATGCCGATATCGTGTTACGATGGCATTGGAAATGTGTTGCCACCTGTTGTTGCCTCATTCCCGCTCGGATCATTCCAATGGCTTCATGACGCTGTGCAGCTGTCAATCTTGGCATGATTTGCTTGTGATATGCTTGTGTCTGTGCCTGAGAATTTTTGAATTTTTTAATGACCACAGATCATGCTTTCCAAAGTGACAGCGAATTTTGAGTTGCACATGCTGTGTACAGCTGCACAGGATGCACGTGCAGTAACACATTGCACGTCCATAGGCCCCCATCAATGACGTCATATCGCATGACACGTGCATGAGCGTTTGAATGTCTCCAATAATTGTTGTGTTCAAACCTATCTTTCATAAATGAACGGTGTGCCCTTATATCTATATTTTCTCCGTGCACAGTTTCTTTATGTGGCTAGTATATATAGAATGTAAGATATTTATTTGTATTATGTCTCCGGCTTGTAATATAGACGACCCTCTTATATAATATCAAATGTTATATATAAATTCCATGCCTACATCACTACCAGTGATTCAAGAGGCCACCTGCAGTTTTAACTCCACAGCAGAATAACTTTCATATAAATAAATAAATAATTGATACATATTTTTATTTTTATTTGGACCAATCTTTCTTCATTAAATGTTTCATGGATTTATTCTGACTTTTTCACAAATATATTACAAGCAGGAAACATAATAAAAATAAATATTTTTATGATTAATTTATTTCTTAGACTGGCTGATTTTCAGTAGGGGAGGTGGGCTTGTGAAACGAAAAATGAAGAATGTGTGGCCTAAATGTGAACCTTGAACTTCCACTGTACATTTTACACTTGCATCATGGGCCTATGGCCTACAATACACTTGATTAAAGAACTATAAATAGGTATATAAATGAAGCTAGCTGCATCCAATCATGTAATATTTTGACATCATCTCATTAGCATGTCATAAGGAATATCTTAATATCATTACATTTTCAACAATGAAAACTTCCACATGAATGAAATTTTTACCAAGATCCTGTATAACACTGATGAAAAAAAAACAAAAAAATAAAACTATACCTTATCTTAAATAAGTATCAAACATATATGTAAAATAAACTATTAAACTCACAGCACAACACATTTTTCCAACATATACAATTTACAAAAACAAATAAATCTGCAAAAACATCAATAAGGCATGAATCATAAAAATGAACAAAATACAACTTTTTTTATCCTTTACCATTAAAATATATCTGCAAATTTCACTTACTCGTGTACTCTGCCGTCGCCATGGAGATCGGAAAGCCCGAAACTGATATAATGCCAGTGGGGAGGAATATGCCTGCCGAGGTCGCCAGGGTTGGCGTACATGCTAATATAATCCAGGGGGTCTGGCCCACCCAGCCTGAAACAGAAACATGGAAATAAGTTTCCCCGTCATGTTCATGCCTACCCCCAGGCAGGAGCTCGGAGGAGTGCTCTTGCATCACAAGTAGAGGAGAGGATGGCAAATGGATTCTGCTGGAAAAAGGCATTTATTAAATCTTGTCTAAAAATAATTTTCTAGTAGTGTTGAGGATGAGTTTGCTTAAAAAATCTTGAAATTACATTCAAACATTCTTTCATACCTGAACATTTATTTATTTAGGACAATTATCTACCAATCATTTCTACCTTATAATATATTATATGAAGGAGATTAATATAATTTAACCTATATGCAGAAAATTGTATATTTTGGAATATATATTATCTATCTTACATATTAATTTCTTATCAGAAATGGCCTTGTAAATTTCCAATAGTGACTTTCATTGACTTTGTCTTCAAGTCTTCAAAATATATTATAATAAAGGTATTATAATATATATATGTCATTGGGATGAGTTCTGACAGACTATAATATTAATTTTGGCAGTTTACATACTGTAAGTATTCCCTGATACATTTCATTTACAAAATGCAGCAGTGAAATAACATAGAAAATGTCAATATGAGAGGATGGCAAGAAAAAATTGGATGTGGTTAATTGTAACTATTTTGTCTTAATTTCAACACCCATTGATATTGTTAATCATGTTTAATATTTCAAACATTTCTTCTGCAAACATTTGCATTTATGGCAAACAACTTAACTCACTGTCTTGGTTGGTTAAATGCTTTCATTTAAATATTTCCTGGGTCTTCTAGGAGCCAAAACAACAAATTGTTGCAGGAAAAAATAACTGATGTATTAACAAACAATGCCACTCTTTTTTTACAGGTCAGGGATCTTAAACTAAAAAATAAGCACGGGTCGTAAGAAATGACGCTAAAAATACATTTTATGGTACTAAATAAATTGGATTACCATTGTGCCCATTGTGTTGGGGGTTTGGTAAGATAGCCATGAATGATAAATGCTCACATTTCACATTCGATATAAAATATCAATACCGAATAGTGATGGGTTTGGGCCTGATTTTCGTTTTGCAATTTATTAATATATTGCATGCGCTCTTTCGTCCGTAATTTGTTAATAAGCCGAATAAATGGACCCATACCATAGACTCCCACCCAACTTCCCAATACCTTTGTTGCAGAGCTCCAGATAAGCTGCGTATCTGCGTAAAATATGCATCAGAAATGCAGAAATATGCAGTAAAATAAAATCCAAGCGTATCAAATACGCAACGAACATTACAGATACGCTACAAAAAAAAACTTGTGTGTATCATCAAAATATTGTGAAGTAACCCTGAGTATTCGATTAGCAAATCAGCAACTTATTTTGAAATTATAAACGGGCATTCCGTCAACCTTGCCAAACTCCACGATGACAGTTACATAATGATAATTTGCCATCACACTTTCTTGTGGAAGTATCGTGGTATTTGTGAGTCCTATAAAGCCCTCGAACCCACATGACACCAGTTTGCAGGGACTAGATGAATAGTGTTTTTAAATATTTAACTTTAAAATCCACATGTGTAAAAACTAGTGGGTAACAGAAATTTGAATACCCAGATAGAATTACTGATACCAAATGATTTTAAAATGCATGGGTAAAATACCCACAACACCAAAAGCTTATCTGGAGCTCTGTTTGTTGTCATCCATTTTGTTGGATATTACTATGGTCACAATATATGTATATTACTCACATCATATAGGGGAAGCTGGCAGCAAATAGTTTAGCATTTTTTAGCACAGGAATCAGTTGCTAATTTCTGAATTTCAATTCAACTTGTCACTTATGTAAACTTTGACAAGAAGAGGAAAATATGCATGATTTGAAAAAACGCAATATACCAGGACTTTCCAACGTATTGTGCTACGTATTCATTAGTGTTTCAAATCGGGGTATACCGGTAATACTGCGCACATCTAATACAGAAATAAGTTTTCATTTAAAAGATTTTATGTTGGTACTTTATTATATTGACCATATCAGTCTGACTTCACTAGGAGCTGGATCACTTGATCATGTTGATATGAGAAATTTTCAACACTACGTTTGTTTTACTTTGTAGTTTTATTTCTAAATATTCTAATTGAAAAAAAATAGAGTGAGCTGGCAAATATTTCTCCCCATTTTTATGATTGTAGGTGGCTCTTAGCCATCGTCGCTCAATTCATGAACTGAAAAATAAAAGTGTTTCAAATATCCAATATCTGACACATTCTCATGGTATAAACATTCTTATTTAACTCCCATAAAAATGGTTAATGATTGTGTATGCTTATAATATATACACAGAAAATACAACTTAATCTGAAAATAATGGTTGGTTATGAGGTGATAAAATATGATCTACAGTATCTTTACTGTTGCCGTAATTACACCTTCTTCTTTGTCTACTTCCATTGCAGACAAGAATTTTAACAATCCTGCAGTAATGCCAACATAAATATATCTCTTCATTTCTTATAAGCAAAAGGCCACAAACACTCCATGATGTATAAAACATGTTCTCTGAATTTGAACAGTAACTTGTGTCCTGTTTCCCTACTTTCCCTGCTTTCCATGTTAACAACTATACCAAATATAAGTCTACAGGACGCTATCACTTTAGGATTTCTGTTTTAACAACTATACTGAATATAAGTCTACAGGACGCTACCACTTTAGGATTTTTGTTTTATTAACTATACTGAATATAAGCCTAAAGGACGCTACCACTGTAGGATTTCTATTTTCTATTTCTATTCTGAATATAAGTCTACAGGACGTTACTACAATAGCATTTCTGTGTTAAAACTATACCAAATATAAGTCTACAGGATGCTACTACTGTAGGGTTTCTGTTTTAACAACTATACTGAATATAAGTCTGCAGGACGCTACTACTGTAGGATTTCTGTGTTAAAACTATACCAAATATGAGTCCATAGGACTCCACTACTGTAGGATTTGTGTTAACAGCTACACCAAATATAAGTCTAAAGGACGCTACCACCACAGGATAGAATGTCCTATAAGGGGACGACCACTTGATTTTCTAAGGTAGGGGGCCAGGGCCTTGTTCCACAAAGCAATTGTAGCGCTACGGCTGTTATAAACCTAGGTTAAAGCATGGGAGTTACGATCACCTTAGCGCTATGATCACTTTGTGGAACAGGTCCCTGATATATATTCTATAAAATCTAATCTGTTTCCAGAAAATGGAAAATACTGCAAAAACAATATACTGTCCTCAGGTGTTACACACAAATTTAATTGTTAAATGGTTACGCTTGATGTTTAAAAAGTAACGTGTTCAGTCTCCCCAAAATCTGATGAGCTCCTCCCGTACAGGAGAAACCTGTGTTTTTTCAGTGCTGAATAAAAAATATCCTGTCTCAAACAGAAATCCCAGCCCCTCTCAAACCTTGAACATTAAATTGTCAGTCTTAAGAAGACAATTCATGACACCTAATGTCAGTTAACGATAAATATCTCCAGATAAGTTTCCAAATGCATTAAACCTTTGGATCCGTGAAGATCCGGAGTAGAATAGGTCTTCAGCAACCCATGCTTGCTGTAAAAGGCGACTATGCTTGTTGTAAGAGGCGACTAATGGGATCGGGTGGTCAGGCTCGCTGACTTGGTTGATGCATGTAATCTTATCACAATTGCGTGGATCGATGCTCATGATGTCAATCACTGGATTGTCTGATCAGAACTCGATTATTTACAGACCGCCCTCATATAGATGGAATATTGCTGAGTGTGGCTTTAAACAACAAACAAACAAAGCAGTAAACCGTTATCAAGATTAATGTGTATCGACTGTAGCATCAAATAATTACCATTAAGTTTTCCCACAAAAATATTTTCCCATTCCAATATGGTGAAAGAGTTAAGATTCCAAGCTGCTTCTAAAAAATCAGAATGTCATCTGATATTGGAGCAAAGCCCAAAGAGACACACAGGTCTTCATTGTTTATCAGTTTGAACACACAAGCATTGGTACGACGGTGTGGAACATAATTTAAGGGTGGACCTAGGATTTGAACCCACTATCAGCAATTCCTCACACAGCTAAGGGACACAACTCTGCAGAGGTATCTGCAAGTGCCAGTATGCAATGGGCTATACAGGCTCTGGTAATGTATGGAGAAGGATGGGTTTTTTTATCACCATCAATGACATTATCTACATGATGTATCCTGAAGGTCATTCACTATTGGGTTTTTTATCGCATACCAGTTTTATCAGATCAACATAACAATCATAAATGCATCTGTTTTCTAAAAATCCAGATTAGAAAGATAGTAATTCTACCATCCTAATCTAAGTCTTCATCAAGAGTGCTGACAAGTGGAATCCACGACACAAGCAGACAACAAACATTTGAAACATTTCTTGACATCTGAACCAAATTCAAACTTTGCAAAAAATAAATAGTGGTCATACCTCATATTTACATATCTACTGTGTCGATTATCCAACAAATTTTAGATCTCTGAACAAGTATCACAGTATTTCCAACAATTTGTGAAATAATAACTTCATAATAGATCCATAGATGTCAAAAATGCAGCAACACTAGAAAAAAGTAGGAACATCAAAACCTAATGTTGTAACTTGATCAAAAATAAAAATATGCCCAACAACATATTATATGTTGCTACAAAAAAATATCATAAAGACAAATGACAATGATAAATGCCAAAATAATGGGCAAAAATAATATTTTCAATGTGGCTGCTGTAATGGCCAAGTTTCAAGTCTGATCAGAATTCTGTGACTTCATAGCTGATGATTCATACAAAGTTTCAGCTTCATTAGCCATGTAGTTTAATAGATGTTCAGAAATATTAGGGTAGGTAAAGGTCTTGATTAAAAATCAAAATATGCCACCATAGGTGGTATCATTCACACACAGTTCAAACTTGTAGGCCGTACAAACAACCGGACGACAAAGCGCCACAACATAAGCC